GAAATCCGTCATTGATGGTTTGATGAAAAGCCAATAAAACAAAGGGGAAAACTCACCGATTGTTCCCAATCTCCTCTCAAAAGCCAAACCAAAGGATTCGAACAATAATCACGATACAAACTGCAATCGAATCGTCTCCAACGGTTGACCATCCCATCTCCCTGACGTCAGTCATCTCGGTGATCAACGGAGTCCTGCCGCATGCCCTTGACGAACCACTAGCTCCGACAGCCCCTCGCTCGTCGAAGCCATCACGGAAACCCGGAGTGCGGAGATCCCTTATAAAATAGAGTCATGTCTCTTACGGCATCAGCGACATCCGCTGTGCTGACCTTACTTGCCGACAGTCCCGATGGCGGAAGCAGGAGGCGGTGGGAAGATCAATTGAGAGAGCAGCGCGATCTGTACACGCAGTTTGTGATTAGCTCCGCGCTGGGTCTCAGCGCCTTTTTGACATTCTGTGTACGTGTTTCTATCACTATAAGATGTGGGTTTTGTTCATCGCTGACTGCCTCGCTTCTAGATCTTACGACCAAAATGGACCGAGTTGTATGCCGCGCGACGCCGGCAAAGAAATGCTGCTTCGCGGTTACCTGAACTTCCAGATACCCTTTTCGGTTGGATACCCATCCTCCATCGGATCACAGAAGAGGAAGTGTTGCAGTCTGCGGGCCTGGATGCATATGTGGTATGTTTCAATGCTTTGGCTTCTTTACAAGACGATGGACCCTTGCTAACTTGAGTCTCTTGGTAGTTCTTGTCTTTCTTCAAGTTCGCGATCCGGTTCCTCTTAGCTGTCTTTATCTTCGCTGTTGCAATCATCCTCCCTATGCACTACAAATACACCGGCCAGTATGGAGTTCCTGGCTGGGATCACATCCCTGAAAATAAGACTATGACTCCAATTGGGGGAATCGAGAAGGAAAAGCCAGTTACAGACCCTACATATTTGTGGATTTATGTGTTGTTTGCATATGTCTTCAGTGGCTTGGCCATCTATATGCTTCTTGACGAGACAAAAGTAATCATCCGCACTCGGCAAACATATCTCGGGAATCAGACCAGCACTACTGATCGCACCATTCGCTTGTCTGGTATCCCACACGACTTAGGAACCGAAGATAAAATTAAAGAATTTGTGGAAGGCCTGCGAGTCGGCAAAGTTGAGAGCATCACGGTGTGCCGGAAGTGGCGCGAGCTGGACGAATTGATTGACAAGAGAATGAAAGTCATCCGTCAGCTTGAGAGAGCATGGACAAAACATCTGGGATACAAGCGGCCAAAGACTGATGGAAATACATTGCCACTGACCAACCAACCGCCTCGTGACGCAGACGATGAACGGTCCGGGCTCCTATCCGGACACGAGAACGACCATGTCTCAGAGTATGTGAATGAAAGACCTAAGGCTCGCATCTGGTATGGTCCATTCAAGCTTCGCTTCCGGATGATCGATGCAATCGATTACTATGAGGAAAAGCTCCGGAAGATTGATGAACATATCCAAAACGCCCGAGAGAAACAATACCTTACTACCGAAATTGCTTTCGTGACGATGGAGTCAATTGCCGCATCTCAAATGCTTGTTCAAGCGATCCTTGATCCACACCCAATGCAAATGTTCGCTCGACTTGCACCGGCACCGGCAGATGTCATTTGGAAAAACACTTACTTGTCTCGTACTCGACGGATGTTCCAGTCATGGTCCATCACCATCGTCATTGGATTCCTCACCGTGTTTTGGTCTGTGCTCTTGGTTCCTATTGCCTCATTGCTGGAGCTGGAGACCCTTCATAAGATTGTCCCCCAGCTGGCAGAGTTCCTCCAAGAGCATCCAATCATCAAGTCATTGGTTCAAACGGGGTTGCCTACTCTTGCATTCTCGCTGTTGACGGTAGCTGTGCCTTTTGTATATGAGTGTAAGCTTCCCATTGACTTCATGTAGTTGCTCAAATCGCTGATCATCTTTGCAGGGCTCTCGAACAACCAAGGAATGGTGTCACGCGGTGATGTTGAGCTGTCCATTATCTCGAAGAATTTCTTCTTCTCATTCTTCAATCTGTTCCTGCTGTTCACTGTTTTTGGGACAGCGAGTGGTTTCTATGGGTTCTGGGAGAATCTTCGGGATGCATTCAAAGACTCTACAACGATTGCCTTCGCACTGGCCAAGTCACTCGAAGGCCTAGCTCCATTCTACATCAACCTGTTGATTCTTCAGGGTCTGGGCCTTTTTCCTTTCCGACTTCTCGAATTCGGAAGTGTCGCATTGTACCCCTTCCACTTCCTCTCAGCTCGCACGCCACGGGAATATGCGGAGCTGTCAACTCCTCCCAAGTTCAGCTACGGTTTCTCCATCCCACAAACCATTCTGATATTGGTTATCTGCGTGGTCTACAGTGTGTTCCCAAGCTCGTGGCTGATCTGTCTATTCGGCCTGATCTACTTCACAGTCGGCAAATTTATTTACAAATACCAACTGCTGTATGCCATGGATCACCAGCAACATTCCACTGGCCGCGCATGGCCCATGATTTGCAACCGCGTATTCGTGGGGCTAGTGGTTCACCAGCTGGCCATGATTGGCGTTCTCGCTCTGCGCAGAGCCATCACCCGGTCGCTACTCCTGGTTCCACTTCTAGGCTTCACCGTTTGGTTTTCATACTGGTTTGGCCGTACATACGAGCCCTTGATGAAATTCATTGCCCTCAAAAGCATCAATCGAGACCAGCCGGGTGGTGGCGATATTTCCCCGTCGCCTTCATCGACCCTCTCACCGCCATCGGGCCTGGATCGCGATAGCCTTCCGATACGCATTGGCGGACAGGACCTCGAGCTGCGGCTGAAGAAATATGTCAACCCTAGCTTGATTGTCCCGCTACATCCTGCCTGGCTTCCCGGTCGCACCACCGCTCGAGGCAATGGAAACGGTGCGTCCGCCTTTGAGGCTCATCAGACACTGAACGTTTAGGGTTGCATGTCTACCCCTGTGTCATTTGTCTATACACTCTTTTTTTTTCCTGCACATGTTTTTGATCCATCATGTTTTACGATCTTGATACCTCGTTCGCATCTCACTATCTTGTTCTGATGTGTTTTCATGTTTATGATATCCTTGCGTGACATATTTACATTCCTTTTGTCGGGCTCGTCTCGCCTGTCCCTCGCTATTCCCCTCCCGCGCAGTAGTTGAATTTTGTTGTCTGATTTTCCAATCCCTTTATGTCTTACAGCATGTCAAGGTCGAATATAGAGTTTGTATGTATGATATGGTCCCTAGATTTCGTCGCTTTCTAATAGCGTGATTTATCTCCCCGTCAGGTGTGAGCGGCTGCCTTTCGGACACAGGCTCCAAGCGAGGTGCCTCTCATATCTAGGATTCCTCGATAAAGACATCAGGTTCGCTTAGCTTTACCCTTTTCCCACATTCCTCATTCCCAAAATAAGCCCGCGGGAAACGTGGCAGTGTCTGAGCACAAAGTCAATACATCTAAGAAACAGCGGGTGGGAAAGCTGAACCTTCATGTTTCCTCCCTAGCGAACCCAGAAATATTTACAGGTAAATTAATACAATTGTCATAAAGAAAAAAAAAAAAAAAAGAGGTGTATTTGAAATATTGACTTCGATGAGGCGGCCTGTGGCATCATTCTGCTAGGGGTTTCACATCACAATTGTCAATACAGCATCCGTCCAATAACGCTCCTTTACCGAAGAGTGAATTTGCAAATCAGATTCGATCTCGCCTCCAGCGTAGACATACCTCGAACACATACGGAATCACCGGCTTCTGGAATCCCTAGGGTCCACATGGTCGGGGCACATTCCTGAGCAGTGGGGAGGGGGGGGATGGCACAGTTGTCTTTCTTGCGGTGAGGAGATGAAACAGTAAAAAAAGAAAGACAAAACAACCCATCCTTGGGCATCGAGGAATGTGGGATATCCTGAACTAAATACTAATTGTTCCAGGATCTTGGTATTGTCTCATTGTTAGGATCATCAGCACACGATTCGAGACATATGCATGTAAGCGGTGAGGTTCGATGAGTGCCAAGCCGTGCGCTGCATTGGGGCGCATTCCTTAATTCTCTTTCCGAGATCCTCTGGAATGTTAGCGTAGATTGATATTGAAGACTTTCTAGGGGTTTCGAGCGGCTGTAACTGAGGGCCTCTGGTTACTACGGTACCTTGGAATTGAATGGAAGTAGGATTAAGACGCATACAGCCCTGGAGTTAAGATTGAATCAATCGGACCCTAAGCTCCCGTTGCCTCATGTCCATTCCATAATGGAGAATGGTGCATTTACTGCATGATACCATTAAGCGCCTAAACGGGCCTAAACGGGCCTAAATGACCCATAAATGATCCATAAATGGATCTAAATAGATCTAAATGGATCTACATGGGTCTAAAGTCTACATGTCTCTTGACGTGCTCCACTTTTCGGATTTCCGCGTGGTACATCTGTGTCCTAGACAAAAGTGTCGACAGGAAAACTTTGTAATTGGATTGAATCAGATGGCAAACTTTAGTAATTGGGAAATGGTGAGGTGCAGTATTTAATCAAAGTCAGCCCTTGCCTCACCCTCGAACTCGGGTTTCATTTCGCATCAGAATTCCCGCACCGCTTTCAGAAGACCGATACAACCTTACACTTAGCACATACTTCCAACCCTGGTATCGTGGATAGACTTTTCTTAAGAGTGAGTAATCTTTCTTTAAAATTACTGGAGATTGCGGATCAGTGGGCTTATTGGTGTTCTAGACGATTCATCGGGACGCCTAGGTATAAACTTGTGTGGGATATTTCCTCTCGGTTCTTTCACTTAATTGGTGTCGTGAAGGTCCTTGGTGTATTTTCAATTGTTGAAGCACTTCCTGGATGCCAATCAATTGAATTGCCCGACTCACACTGATCCTCCATCTGAGTTCAAAGAAATGTTCTGGAATTGAGATCCAGTAGTGAAGATTAAATCACTCCCTATACTGGAAGGGTGTATCATCATGCCTGCGCTGCGGTCTTCAAGTCAAGACTATGCTCGTCAGATGCCTACAAATGCGTCCATCGTGCACTCCAAACGAAGCTCAACAAGGTCAATACCCTCAGTTTCAAATAAGTCCGGGCTCGGATACACGTCACAGAGTCGACATGTTTCAAAATGCCATTCGACAAGCAATTCATCTCCTCCCGCTGCAAATATTGCACCAGCAGAGATCCTACTGGAGATTTTTTCCATGCTGACACCGCGAGATTTCGACAATGCCCGGCGGACATGTTCACAGTGGATGCGAATTAGCCTGAACTACAAACTGCTGGAGAATATGCTGAAAAGAGCAGGGTGGTGGGATGCATGGCTGCAAGACTGCAAAACGCCACGCATCTCCCGGTTAGATGAGAGCGAGGTCTGGAGAATGAGCCGCCGCTTTGCGACAGAGTGTCTCCTTTCGGGGCGAAAGTTGAATGTCGAGAAGCCGGGCTTTTTGACTACCGCTGTCGTAGACTTTTCATGTCTATCTGGCTCTGCAGGAAGAAAATCCCGCCGCACTCAACTTCAGCCGGTTCTGCAGACCGAAGGCAAACGGTCCATGTCGACTTTCAGCATTAGCAGTTGCAACAACTACTTGCTCGTGACGACTGGCTGCATGATCTATATTTATTCTCTTCTGCGTGGAAAGTCTAGGCCAACGTCTGCAAAAGACTTCAGCAATATTGACTTGACGCTAGTCTCGCGAATCTCATGTCCGTTCAACATTATCTCAGCTGTTATCGACACCAGCCAGCCCCAATTCACCATTGCTGCATTGCTTTGCAATCGCGTTGGCATGATCTGTAAATTGGATATGGCTTGGGTCAAAGCCCCGGTCACCAAAGGATCTCATTTCAATACCAAAATGGCCCCCTCATCCCGCCACTTCTTCTACAACGTCTGCACAGTAGACAACCCACCCCGCACAGTTGCTATCTGTCCCGGTCAGCCAGTCCTCGCCTTCGGTTGCGCTGCGGGCATCGAAATTCATAGCGTGAACGAAACAAAGCGCAATGAACAACGCAGATACTTCACCGTCCCTCAACCCTCCGAAATCCTTCACTTCCTCCCAAGTAGTCCAGAAACACCCAGCGAACTACGTCTCATTTCCTCACTATCCGGACCGGGCGTCCACGAATGCAAATGCCCCCCTTCACCCTCATCTTCAACCTCATCACCAAAACTCGACCCAAAAAACAACCAATTCCATTTCCTTGCAGATATCCAATCCTTCAACCGCCGCCGCATTCCCCACGCCCCATCTCGCAACTTCATGCGCGCAACACACTGCCACCACTATCGTGCCGTCCCCATCAACGACGGTTTCCACATCATGTTCATCGAGCCACGCACAAGCCTACTATGCATTGGCACCGACGCTCCAATCGGCGGGCCAACAAGCCTAACCCGCGCATTCGTCTGCGTTCCGCCACCTTTCTCAAACACCCAAACCCGACAGACCAAGACACCACCCCCATCCCCATCCCTCTCAAACACAATCCCACCTCCAAAAGATCTTCCAATCCCAACAACCTTCACCTCAGGCTCCGACCTCCGCTGGGGTCTCCGCGTTGTCGCTGCCTACGGCGACCGCCTCGTGTTATACTCAATTCCCCTGGACGTATTCAACATGATCCGCAAAGAGCGTGAACGTCAAGGTGACGGGGTACTGGGCGACAGTGACTTCGCACCAGGCTGGTACGTTGACTCGGAGCGGACGCGCAAACAGCGTGAGAGCCTAGTGCAAAACCAGAATGGGGAGTGGGAGTTTGCTATGTCTGTTTCCTATCGGCCTACGGCTATGATGTGGCCGTTTAAGATCTATGGCAAGGAGATCGGGTCTGTGAAGGGGACTGTGGAGCTTGCTTTGCAGTCTTCTGAGGGTGGAGTCAGGGTTTGGGCTTTTGGGCAGGATGGCAAAGCTACGGTTTTGGATATTGACACTGGTGATGTTCCCACTCGGTCTTTTGGTGTTGGCTCTGATGGGGGATTGGAGGATCTTGGTATTGTTCAGAGGTCTTTGGGTGGTTCGAGGAAACGGAAGTTCGAGGAGGCAAGGACAGGGTTTGTGGGTTATGGTGCTGGTCGCTATATGGGGGATGAGATCAAGCCTTGTGCTGCTGGTGTTCACGGTGTACATCATCCATCGGTTCGGCGGTCGTCTTTTGCGGCTTGTATTATAGACTTTAAGATTCCTTTGTATTAATATAATGGTGTGAACATAATATTTTCGGTCCTTTTGGTTGACTTTGGCTTCCTTCCTCTTTCGTTTGTCTCTTGTCTGGTGTCTCTTCTCTCTTCTCTCTTCTCTCTTCTCTCTTCCTCTTCCTCTTCCTCTTCCTCTTCTTTCATCTCCCTTTCATTCCCTCCTCGCTCTTTTCCATTCAGTCTGTCTCTTACATTTCCCCTTATCCATTCCTTCCCTCTGTTCGCCTTTCGGTGTCCTTCTTGGGAGACTTTCTTTGCGAATTCCACGTGGTTTGACATAGTAAGTTGACATGCATGGGTTTGTATTAACAATTATCCTGACCCATCTTACCCAGCTTTCTTGTACAAAATTGATGACAATGGCTTCAACTCCCCTCGCCAACCTCCCTCGTGACTGCTGGCTACAGATACTAGAGTGTCTGCCAAAAGATGATTTGAACAACCTATCACAAGTTTCCCATGACGTTCGTGCCTCAGCTGAGCCTTTCCTGTATCGATCAATCCACTGGGACTGGCAGCATCCCCAGGTCCACGAAATCCTTCTCCTCCTCCGGACTATCTCCGAGCGGCCAGAGTTGGCTTACTACATCTGGCATATCAGTTTCGTATGGTGGAATGTGGAATCCCACACAGGAGAAATTGTCGTCCCCAAAGGAAAGCTCGACTGGGCCAAGAAAATGCTAGAGTTTAGGCCCACTTTGAGATGGGCCCGGAAGGTTGTTCGAGACGCGAAATTCCCGGCAAACCTGGATGCTAAATTTGTCCGACGAGTCAATGATGGAGACGCCTACATCTACGCCACACTGCTGGTCTCACAACTTCACAACCTTCACAGCCTTCGACTGGACTTTTCATTTGTGCTTGAAGGAGGTTTCCCTGGGGAAATTTTGCATCATTCTCTCTTTGGCAACGCACCGCCTGGCGTATTGACTCGGTTCTCAAAATTAGAAATGGTTGACTATGGAAGCAATTTGCCTCTCACGGAATTCCGCGAAAGTGCTTGTCCCGGTAACCCCTATCAATTCATCCCCTGGTTCTACCTTCCTTGTTTGAAAATCCTCGAGATATGGCTCCCTAATGTGGAAGGAATTTGTGTCTTTTCCGAGCAGATGCCGAGAGGACCCTGGAGGTTTTCAGACCTGCGCAGTCTTGTTATTGCCAAAACAGCTGTCCTGCCCGAGAATATCGCCAAGCTGCTGTCTCAGTTGCCATATCTAGAATCCTTGCATGTGGGCTTGGCCTACAGATGCCGGACAACAATCGAATTTCTCAACCGGCCTGACTGCTTCCTTCGTTCCTTGGAAACTTCGAGTCAAACGATCAAACATCTTTCTATCAGCGTGGAGCTTCTTCCATGTTGTATAGCAAACTTCCGTCTGCGCTTGTCGGATGAAGCTAGTAAGCCTTTTCGTGGCATGCTAAAGAGGTTTCCCAAACTGAAAACGGCGTCTTTGCCGCTCAACTTTCTTATTGGCTGGGGTGACACGGCCCACGAGCTTCGAGATGAACTGCCATTAACTCTGGAGGCCCTTCACATAAGGCCTGATCTCTGGCCAGACTCCGAGCTGATTGAATTCGAAATGGCAACACTTGTGGCGTTGGAATCATTCATGAGACACAAAGAGGATGGCTCCCATCCTTATCTTAGGACTTTCTCCTATGAAGGACTGCATGGTTGTGGTATGCATGAACTCAACGCGCTGGGCCTTCTAGAGGCCGAGTTTAACTACTCCTACTTGATTAAGCGGGAAGCAATACATCTGTTCTGTCTCAGGAGAGGGTACGATCTATTTTCTCGATATTCTGACTGCACAACGGGTTTTATGCTAAAGCATGCAATGTGGGAAGACAACGTCGCCTACTGGTTCCCTTGGCCGTTCGCTGGGCTCGATGAGCTCCCAGCAAGCATGCCTCGAGAGATTAGAATTAGGGTTCGAACTGATATGAACTCTAATGGGAGCTCCTCTGGTGGGAACTGAACTGCATATCCAACTGATGGTCAGCATGGAATTTGATTGTATGGATAATCAAATTTTTCAAGATATCTTCATAGGAAATATGATTCATCTCTTTGTATTTCCCCTGAAGATCTTCCAGCCAAGATATATAAGCATTTTAGGCCAAGTCAGGTTCAACGTGGACCCCGATGACGGCATAGGGCTAATTTTGGCCCCATATATATCTCCACTATAAATGCCGAAATCCTATGCATACAATCTAAGTGGGATCTTCGTAGCAAAATTGCCCTAATGTGGAACGTATTGAACTTTTCAGGCCGAAGTAAAATCGTTGAACTTTTGATTTTGACACGCTTAAGAAATGCCCCGTTGTAATTTAACTTGAATATCCCAACACAGCTTATTTCGCTTCCGATTTCTCGCGACGAGCGCGAACACCTTGAGCCAGAGTCTCCAATACTGACTCGGTATCCTCCCAGTTAATGCAAGCATCCGTGATACTGACACCGTACTTGAGACCGGCCTTGCCCTCTGCGGGGACCTTCTGGTTGCCTAGCGCGAGTTAGTATAAACAACTTTCTATAGATAATAAAATTTCCAAAAGACTCACCCTCATTGATGTTACTCTCAATCATAACACCCATAATAGCATCCTCACCGGCAGCAAGTTGCTCAGCAAGCACAGCAGCGACCTTGGGCTGGTTCTTGTGGTTCTTCTCAGAGTTGCCGTGGCTGCAGTCAACCATAAGACGGGGACGCATGCCCTTAGCAGTAAGCTTAGTCTTGGCATCGGCGATGCTGGCAGCATCGTAGTTGGGGCCCTTCTTTCCTCCGCGAAGGATAACGAAGCAATCAGGGTTACCAACGGTTCCGACAATGGAAACAACACCGGGCTTTGTGACGGACAGGAAGTGGTGTGGGTGCTTGACGGAGCCAATAGCGTCGACTGCGACATCGAGCGAGCCGTCGGTGCCGTTCTTGAATCCGACGGGGAACGAAAGACCGGAGGAAAGCTCACGGTGGACCTGGGACTCGGTGGTGCGAGCACCAACGGCACCGACGGACAAACAGTCTGCCAAGAACTGGGGGGAGATTGTGTCGAGCATCTCGCTAGCGATGGGCATGCCCTTGTTGGTCAGGTCGACGAAGAGCTGGCGCGATACGCGGAGACCCTTGTTGATCTTGAAGCTGTTGTCAATATCAGGGTCGTTGATCAGGCCCTTCCAGCCCACGGTTGTGCGTGGCTTTTCGAGGTACGAGCGCATCACGATGAGCAGCTCGTCAGCGTACTTCTCCTTCATCTTCATTAGGCGATCGCAGTATTCGAGGGCCATTTCCGGGTCGTGGATGGAGCAAGGTCCGATCACTACCATCATACGCTGGCGCTTATCTGTGCCATGGACAATTGCGACGGCTTCATTGCGTCCGTCGAGTACGGTCTTTCGTGAGGTCTCGGTCAATGCGATCTCATGTTGGAGGAGATTGGGCGGGGTAAGAGGGTTGTAGCCGAGAACTAAAGCTGTTAGAGACCAATTGGTTTTAAAAAAAAAATGGCCAAACTTACTGCGGGAGTCTTCCAAATGGTTGTGGTTACCCACATTAGGGTTATCAATGAAGAACTGTGCAATTGGCGACGTCAGTGTGAAATTTAAAAATCAATGGAGGGGGAGTTGACTCACCGACATCGGAGGCAGAGAGGTAGAGGGGCAGAGGGAGGGAAGATGGGAGGGCAGATTTTTAGAGAGTAACAGGGAGAAATCAAGGTAAGTGCAGTGAATAGAAGAGTAACAGTCTTCAAAAATAAAATAATAAAAAGAAACAGCCCTCGAATGAGTCAAAAAGCCCAGAGTATAACAATTTCCACGTGATCCTCGGTCAATTTGGCCCGGCGTTGGAGTTCCAATCACGGCGATCCCATTTATAAAATAAAATGTGGGCTAAAATATATTGATATTATAATACTTGGTATAAGAATCCGATCTGCATGCAATCCTAGCCTCGTGTCACCTTCGAAATAATACATGTAGCCTGTGAATTCGCCCCCGTCTTTCAGATTGGCCCTTGTTGCACCCGACGGTCGAGCTCCTGCAATCCACGAATCAGGTCTTGACATATATCTGCATGTTGTTCCTTAACGACATGCATTTGCTGCCGGTATAGCTGCATTCGTGCTTCTTGTGCTTGGAACAGGTCGTCAAGGATCCGACTACATCCCTCTCGGTAGATCTCCAAGACTCGACTGATAGTGGCCTTTTCTGCCGCCAGCTGAGTGGACAAATGCTAAATCACAGTTAACGTGGTTCCATTCACATACAGACTTTTGGCTAACCGAGTTGGTTTCTTGAAGCAGGCGGTGGGCATCTTTCTGTGCCACTTGCAAGGTTGATATCCATTCCATATCGTCATCGCCCTTCGTAGAGGATCGGTGCAACTTAGAAGCTGGCTGTGTTGATCCCGATATATCTGTTCGGAACGATTGGTCAAACCCATGATTCTTTGAAGGAACGCCACATAATGCTCTCTCATCGATCGTGCTCTGGGAAGAACTTGGTCTAGTCGTCGATGCTTTCTCGGAGTTATCCCCATCAGCAGTATCCTCCTGAGAAAACGAGTGTTGGTGCCTTTCATGCGGCTGTGGCGGCCATGGGTGAGATCTCTCCAGGTTTTCCATTTGGATCCCATATTCCAACAACATGTCTCTCTGGAACTTAGTCCACATGACCCCCTCATATTTAGTCTCAGTGGAGATGCTGGACGAGTCTCCGTCGTACTCAATTGGACTGGCATTAGTGTCGCTGGTTGTCTCTTCGTGGTGCTTTTCGCCATCCAGATCGAGTTGAGGCACAACCATGCTCTTGGCTGACTGAGGCATGAGCCGAGGACTACCATTGCTGTCGACAATGCTAGTCTTTGGGACTGACTTTGGGGGCTGAGGAGATGCGGAATTCAGTTCTATTGGGGATTCATTAGTGAGAAGAGGCTTTTGAGACTCCGGAGTATGGCTAAATCCACGTCCCTCAGTCTGCCCTGCTGTGAGATAATCGGGATTTCCTGCATTTGAAGTCTCCAATGAGCTATTCGCCCGGCTTTCGCAGATTTTAGTGGAATGTGAAGATGTGCTCAGTGCGGATCTCATGGGTTGCAAGGTTGCAAACCCGGGGATATGTTCCATTTCCATGTGGTAATCAAGGATTGAAGGGTCGTCACCCATCAAGCCTCTGCCGATTTCAAATTCTGAAAAACTCGTTGTGCTGGACAACCTGTCATCGCCCAGAGCCTGCCAGAAGAATGCGTCATCTGCTTGCTGTAGTATCTGTTCTTCCTTAGGCGAAAGTGTTTTGGCAATCAATGTTGGATTGACAGTTTTAGGTTCGGTTCGGTCTTGCTTTGTTTCGGCTGGAATTATTCTGTCCAGTACGCTGTCAATCTTTGGAGGTTCCAACGCTGTGTCGTTCGGCATTTGGTCGGACTGCTGCTTTCTCGGAGATTCCTCGGATTGTACTGGATCAGATGAGATGATGAGAGGTGCAGTTTGATCATTGAGTGGTTCATTCTGAGAAGGCTCTGCTCCGTGGAGCGCAAGCATCAGCTTGTTTCCAACGCTCTCTGCTCTACCACGATGTCTGGAACGACTCTTTTCATGAACCGCCTTAGTCTGGCTGTTTTGTCCCTTTGGAAGTGCCCTTGACTCCAGGATGGTGAACTTTGAAGTAGTCGGTCCTTTAGTGTCGACGTCAGAACTTGAAGATACTTCGGAAGTCACATGAACAGCTTTGCCTTTGTTTGTTCGTCCATTGGATTGTGCCCGATGCTCTAGGATGCTGACTTTTGAAGTACGGGATGGCCCTTCGCCATAATCTTCGAAATCAGAGGATGTTGTCACCGATGTGCAGCTCCTTATCTCGACAATCACACTCCCTTTGCTCTTATTTCCATGCTTCTTGTGGCTGTCTGTCGGTGGCGAAGGTTGGTGCGAAGCTTCGGGCACATCTCCATTGCGCTTCGTGGCATAATATTTGTTTTGTCCGTCCAGTGGACGCATATCAGAAGGCCCACTGTTACCCAGAGGGGCCGCAGAAGGCAAAGTGCTTGCAGTAAGCGTTACCAACGGCAATTGTGGCTCTCTGGTGCCGCCCTCTTCGCTGGTAATGCTCTTCCTCGTGTTTGATTTCCTGCGTTTTGCCGAAGTTGTTTGTGGCTTTGATAGCATTGCTCGCTTGCTTCCTGCTTTTTTTCCAACTGTCTTCGGTCGGTTTGGGTCTGTATCGGCAACGGAGGTTCCTCCATGGGCACCTTTACTCTCGACTGTCTCATTGGGTGTAGGGCGGAGATCTTCGTCCCAGTCCACTTCTTGGGAATTGGATCTGGGCGGTCTTGGTTTTGTGAGCTTCAATCGAACAATCTTTGACTCGGAAGGGTGGGACTGAGGAGCTTTTAGCTTTTGGCGACCTGGGTCTGCGCGGCCGTATCCCGAAGTCGCTCGGTCATTGACAGACGTTTTATTCCCTATGTCTGCGTCAATTGGTGCAGGTGAGCCTCGAACTGGCTTCATAGTTGCTGTCGTCATCCACTTGGAATCAAAACATGAGGATGGGATGTAAAAGAAAGTGTGCTATCCAGAGCTGGCCAGCTGGTGAGGGTGCTGAACTAAGCCCAGTTCCAGCATACGGCATGGATCACATGATAGCTCGACTATAACCTCAAATGTCCTACTAATGTATACATATCTACGTGTAGATAATGAACATAGACCGTGGATAATCAAAGGTTTATTTGCAGATATGATCGAGATATCTAGGTTATCTAGGTCTTATTTATGTTGATTTATGTTGATCATCTTACAGTTAGGTAAGGACGTGTATATTTATATTTAAAGAATCTATATCGTTATGGTCTAACTTAAAAATGTCGAGATTGATCTGGAAGTTAAAGTGTTCTATTTTTATCTCAAGTTGCGTGCTTGTCACATAAGATGATAACAAAGCACTTATTTCCCCATAATAATTTCCCATACTATCAGATCTAAAATATCAGATCTAAACTATCTTCAGCTTCCCACCAAACTAATCCTCAGGATAATGCTTCAATCAAGACCCGATCGGCCCGTGCAAGATCCGCGATCCGTGATCCGATTAATAATCGCCATTCGATCTGGTTCGCTGACAATGCATATCCCTTGGGTGCGGCTGAGAAGCCTTTATAAGGTAGCAGGTCTCGAGTTCATACGCCCAATATTGCGTTATATATTCGCACAATGACACAAAAAGTGCCACAAGCCGAAGAGACATCGGCTTCTCAATGCCGATTCAACGCAGCCCAGGCTCTAGACCGGCTTCGTGGCCTTCTACCCGCTATATTTGCTAAGCCTGATGTTGAACTCGAGATCGACCCTATTCCTAAAACGAATGTTGGACGCCGTCGATCCTCATGCTTTGCCGGTTCCCTCGATCAAGATGAGACTCTTCCTGGGAAAATTTCCACACAGCAGGAACACGGGATTGGTGTGTCGGAAACCGTGGCCAGGGATGAGACTGTTCTCTACCTCGCCTATGGGTCAAACCTAGCTTCCAAGACTTTTCGCGGAATGCGCGGCATAAAACCACTGTCGCAGATCTCCGTGCTTGTCCCCGAACTCCGTCTCACTTTCGATCTTCCGGGAGTACCATACGCAGAGCCATGTTTCGCAGGCACACAATACAGAGATGTTTCTCCCCCGGCAGATGACAAGACCGAACCCCAAGACCATGAGACGGATGTGTTGGACAGTGAGCACCTATCAGAGAAGGCAGTGCTCATAACTCGGACACAGGAGGTAGAAGTGGTCTCGAGTTGTGACAAGCGTCAATGGCACAAACCTCTAGTCGGAGTTGTCTACGAAGTCACCCTAGCGGATTACGCGAAGATTATCGCCACGGAGGGCGGTGGTCGTGGATATCGCGACTGTGTCATCGATTGTCATCCCTTCCCTCATTCATACGACCCCTCCGACCCCGTCCCAGATTACCCCAGCACACCAGCTTTCAAGGCACGCACCCTGCTCTCGCCAGCTGCGGACAATGCCCGCCTATTATTGCAATCTCATAAAGACGATGTCCCGCTGCCTAGTGGTCCAAAGCTATCGTGGTGGTATACCGTCTGCTTGCATTTCCGGCCGGATCCTAACTACGCTCAGCCCTCTGCCCGCTACCTTGGGCTGATCAAGACTGGCGCTGCAGAACATGATCTGCCGGTTTCATATCAAGTATATCTTGCGCAGATCAAAACTTATCGTATTACAACTACGCACCAGAAGATCGGGAAGGTGATCTTCTTGGCTCTGTGGGCGCCTTCGTTGATTTTGACCATGTCATTATCCAGGATATGTGCAGGTCCTGATGGTCGTAGTCCACCATGGCTGGTGGCTCTGGCCAATACCGTGTTTTCTGGTATGTGGACTAGCTATGATTATTTCTTTGCTCGTATCTTTGGAGATGGCGAGCGGGTTTTGGATGATACCCGGGCCTGAAGTTGCTTCTAGCCATTTTTGATATGTTTATAGCCATGTAGATTCTTGCATATACAATAATTAAAAATCGATCACTGTACCACTCGTCTCATTGCCAAGTCGCAGAACATACCATATCATCTCTGATACAGACATGCACATACAGACATAAGCTGCAACTCTAGAGACTCGCATAAATGTACTGGTCTCTCATCTGTCATAATCACAAAGGAAATTAAATTCAGATGACTCCTCGAAGCACACAGTTTTCGAAAGGAAATGAAAAAAAGAATATATCTAGGATACAGATACAGGTGTTCGGGGAGCGTTCTAACAAAACACAGACACAGCGACCAATAGATAGACACAAAAATGACGAAACAGAGAGGCCTCTTTGAGGCACCTGTATCAAAACCGGGGGTGTGGTATGGGTTCCCCAAGTCGTACTGGCCCCGTCAGCCTCTCACATTTTCCCACTCAAAAAAGGCCTTGCTGCAACATTTAACGGCGGGGGCCGATTGGGGGGCTGTACACGACCTTGCGGGTCTTGAGAGGGGCCCACTTGTAGCGCTTGACCCAAACGGAGATGGCGAACAGACCGGTCAGGAGGGCAACGGCCTTGACACCCATCTTCTTACGCTCGTCCATCTCGGGCTCGGCGGACCAGTTCAGGAATTCGACGACATCCTTGGCCATCTGGGAGGTGGTGGCGGGGGTACCATCCTCGTACTCGACAACACCGTCGAACAGGACACGGCCCATAGCAATACCTATCACTGGGTCAGAAACGCTAAAAGACAACAAGAAGTCATGGGCTTGTCGTTACGTACCGGTACCGGGGAAGTAAGGGTTGAAGTTCATGCCCTCGGCGACGGCAGCACCAGCGGGAGGCTCATCGGGGTAACCAGTAAGCAAGCTGAAGATGTAGTTGCAGCCACCGTGACGGCCCTTGGTGATCAAGCTGAGATCGGGAGGATAAGCACCACCGTTGGCGGCACGGGCGGCCTCCTCGTTGGGGTAGGGGGCGGGGATGTAATCAGAAAGCTTGCCGGGGCGCTTCTCGATGTTGCCCTCGCTGTTGGGCTCGGTGTCGTACTCGTGCTCCTCGGCGAAGGCCTTCATCTCGTCGACGGTGTGCATGGTGCCGACCATTGAGCGCCATGGGACACGGGTAAGGGAGTGGCAGGAGGCGCAAACTTCGCGGTAGACCTGGAAACCACGGCGGAGACTTGGTCGGGGTCAGTACAATGTCTGCCGGTGAGAGCAAAAATGTGACTTCAGGGAAGAGAGCACTCACGCGGCGTGATCGAAAGTCTTGTTGAACCGCTCGTGCACCCAAGGGTACTGAGTAGCGTGGAGTCTGGATAAAATCACCCGTTAGCTTCCGCCATTGTTCTCAACCTGGATCGCACAATGCTTGGCTGCGCCGAGGCCACAAGTACGGCGATCCTCCTGGGTAATTTCACTCACCCCTCCTCAGCAGGTGTCATGGCGAAGGCTTCCTGGCCATAGAGATGGTAGTACCATGCGGTGGAACCGGCGGCGGCGGCAGTTGCAAGCGCAGCCGTGAGTGTGAGGTAGAAGGGGGAGCTGGCGGCCTCGGCTCCGGCGGAGGTGGAAGAGGCACGCTGTTGAATATTAGTAACGGAGCCCTTCTGTAATCCAATGCAGGTTCAAAGAATCGATTGTCCTCTTCGGTGAAGATCAATGGGGGTGAAGGCGTACCGTGGACTTCCCGAGGGACTGGCGTGCGATGGCCCGGTTGGACGCGCGCAAAATCGAACGTCCCAGCATGACGAAGTTTAACCCAAGCAATTGAATTTGATTGGGAATGGGTGCTGTATCGCCAAAGCGAGAGAGGGGTGGGTGGGGAGAGGAGGGGGGATGGTACAGGAGAGAGGTGCTGGAGGTTGAGGTCGAAGTCGAAGAAACTTGACATTGATGATTACCCCCTTGCTCTGATTGGCTCCCGGCCACGCTAGAAAACCGACTCTCGGAACACCACAATTCTGCTGACTTTAGAATGAATTGATCTATATAAAATCTACTAATTGATTATAGTAATTCATGATATTCAGTCTATAACTTCTTATTTTACTTCTTCCGATGTGGTCTCGTTTTTTTTCCTCCGGTTGTGCGTATCCCGGGATTCACCGAAAAACACTCATCACCGGGAACAACATTGAACAATATACTATATTCGAACATAGTCAGGAGATCTTCAAACCAAGTTGCTAATTACAAGCTATATATGTCACACTAGTCTATATCTTCCCCAGTATTTACTATCTTCCAAGTCGGGGTATCTCGGGACCTTCCCTGTACCGATATAGCTAGGTATTTATACAGCTATGTTAGCTATATTAGCTTGTATTGCAGCTCCTGTCATGTTAGGAAGGATCTTATTGATGCAAACAGCTTTTAAAGCTCTCATTGTTTCGAAAAATTATGTTCTAATGTTAAGTCTTAGCTCAATGTATATATTTAGCCATTAGATTGCCCCGAATATCTCCAATTTCGACTTTTATCTTTCCCCATGGTTACCCATCCATATTTGAGCTTTATACACCATAAGAAGAAAAGCCAAATATGATCCAACTTCTTCTTTTTATTTCAATCAAAGAAAGTCTGACTTGTCTACTCCGTACAGATGTACTCAATGCATACGAGAGAGCGGTGTACATTTTGCCAGCTGGGGGAGGCGGCATTGGATACTGTCTGTCTGTGCGCAATGATCGTGCAGCATTGGAATGTGGTTCCTGATTTACGGCTGAGAAATACGTGGTTGGATGCAAAGATGTCTGCATGAGAATTTGACCAAAATCTACCCCAAAGACGCTGTGTGTCTGCTCGAATAGAGACCGGACCACTCTCCACAACCCCGCGGGACAGCCTGGAGCGAGCCCGAGGCTGCCTCAAATCACGAATTCCCCACGACTGCTCTCTATTCAGATGAAGAGCTCAGGAATACAAGATGTCAGGTGCAAAAAAAGGACCCACGGCTGCAGCTAAGCCGCGCAGAGATGTGCTGGCCTCGCTGCGCATGGCATCAATGGAAGACATCTCCAGAGCTGCTCTTCCGGCAGGTGCGTGAGATGAGACATGCGGTGATGGGGGCAACATATGCTGACAAGAGGAAAAACAGAGATCGTATCTTCTATTCTCGATTACGTCGGCCCCGTTGATCTGATCCGAGCGGCACGGTCCTGCAAGCTCATGCACGAGATGGCGTATGATGACACTCGATGGGTACACAAGTTGAAACGAATCGGGTGCTGGGACGAAGCAGATGCTAGAAAGCATGCTGAGATTATGTTTGGGACAGTTGCCAACATGGAGGTCGTCGAGCAGCAAGAAGAGGCTGAACTGGGCGATGGACCAGTCCCCGAGATCACTGTTGGCGATGACCCTTCCAATGACCTGAAAGAAATATCCGATGGATTCGATAAGATTGAATTAGTGAATACGGCGTCGCAGCCCACTATGTTCCAGGATCTCCAGAATGAACCCGCCCTAACGGTGTTGAAACAGGTTAGGTCAATCCGTGGCGAGGCGCGTCAGGAATACGGCAAGATACATGCTGCACTGGCACCGTTTTATGAGGATATCGCGCGATCTGGGCCATCGTCTGAAAATTTGGTTTTCACGAAATACAAAGATCCCCAGGCTCAAGCGCAGATACTGGCACAGTTACTAATGTTCTCCAAATCTGATATGACACAAGGATGGGACGAGCGGGTGGACCATTTAGAGCGTACAGTCTCGATGTTTGAGACTGCCGCGCTGAAGGAGTTCCGTCAGGGATATGAAACAGACGACATTGACGGGACTATGCGGAAATACGCACACATTCTATGGACACTCAACGGTGGGCAAGCTGCCGTGGACCTTTTTATCCACCACAATCACCTGATGACTCGGAAGTCCGAGCTAGGAACCGTCGCTTCCTGCATTGACGGATCGACCGGCCAGGTCAAAATGGAGCAAACGCAGGCTTTCTTCACACGTCTCAGTGTCGCCTTCAACGATGAAATATCCATTATGAACCGCGTCTTTCCCCCGGACATGGACGTTACATCAAAATTTATGACAAAAGTTGGCCAAGATGTGTTGTACCCTTTCCTCACGGCAATATTTGATGAGCTGCATCGTATCAACATCGAGTCATATCTCACTGCAATCTCGGCGACTTTTGTCCAATGCATGAACCTCTCGGAGGCTCTGCTTCCTATACGAGGCTCTGATGCTAAGTTCGATGAGTATCTGGATAATGTCGTGATCAAGATTTATGAGCCACACCTTGATCTGTATTTAGCAGAAGAGCTGGACTTTTTCAAGAATGCCTGTGAATCAACAGTGAATGAGTGGGACCGGCATCTCTCTGAACAGGCGGCCTCGACAGAGTCTTTTTTGATGTCAAATGTTAATCGCCAAGCCGACAAACGAGACTTCCTTACTTCTTTCAAGAAAGTGATCATGATGCCGGTAAACATCCTACCGAGCTTTTCAAGCGCCAAATCAAACGAAGAGCCAAAATCAGACACGGAAATAAGCAGTGCAAACCCGTCGCAACCATCGAAAAGTCTCAATCGATTTTCGACAATACCGTCGCCTGCCCCAGTGGTCGTCGAGCAAGTTCCCACCACAGAGCTGGCAGCAAAAGCTGCCATCATGAAGTCGAAGATGGAGGGTATCCGCTCATTGTTCAGCATCGAAATCGCACTTGGTCTAGTTCATTCCGCCAAATCCAGCTTGGAGAGAGCCGCTCAATTTGTGCGACTTGGCGGCGAATTTGGCCATGCAGCGAAACAGCAATGCGAGGCAATCTTCGTGACGCTGCTACGTATTTTAGGACACCAGCACGTTATCGTTGGATTTGATAAGGCTGTCAGTCATCTATCCAACTACCGACCCCGCGAACAAGGGGAGCGTGACCAATCTGGGGTCGAACCCCTCGTCACCTTTTTGGAACTGGTCAATGTCGGTGATTTGATTCTGCAAATGATGGATGTATTCTACGAGCAGGAGTTGATCGGCTTGAGATTAACTGATAGGAACGATTTTGTGGACCCTGCCAATAAAGAAAAGAAAAGGTTCGAACAGATGCTCGATGAACGTGTCGCAGCTGGTCTGAACAAGGGAATCGACGTTCTCATGGAAGAGGTGGACTACATTCTGGCAACGCGGCAACTAGCCACCGATTTTAACCCCGGCGTTTCCTCAGATCCACACCGACAGACCATGGACGTAGGCGTCAGCGAAGTCGCTGTCGCCGTCGTCGACGTGGTTTCATCGCACACCCAGATGCTAGTCGGAAGCACGGACAAGAGCACACTAGATGTGTTCAATCAAGAAGTCGGGCTCCGCCTATTTACGGCTCTATGTAAACACCTCAAGCGACAGCGCATCAGCGTGGAGGGATCACTCAAGCTGATCAGGTATGTATTTCAAAATCAAGCCCCGCAAAATGCCAAGCTGACTTCCTAGCGACATGAATCACTATTTCAAGTATATCCAAACATTGCGAAACAATGAGCTACTTCTCTATTTCACGGCATTCCGTGAACTCGTGCAGATTTACCTGATCGATCCTGGCCATGCTAAGGAACTGGCGACTGTCATCGCCGACGCAGATCGATTCCATGGGATTTGGCGTGTGGAGGAGGTCTATGAATTTGCCGAGCGCCGGGCTGACTGGTACCTCGTCAAGCGGGACGTGGAACGAGCCATGTATGGAATTGGTTGCAATGTGATGTAAATAGATACCGATACCCCCGGGAATTGCATAGCGAGTTGGCGTATATACACCTACAATGCGGACATGCATGTCAGCTCGGAATATTCTCATAACGAGAATAGACTTGTATGAATATATAAAGAGCTATTGATGAACAAGTCTATGCAAGATATTTGCTCTTTTTTAGAGAGAAATTGAACAATGTCTCAAGTTCTGAGTTTCAGTTGAGACAGAAAAGTGAAACGAGAGAAAACTAGATAGCCTAGCACAGAGAAAATTATGAAGGAATGAAATATCGAATGTCAAATATCAAGGCGATGCAACCCCCTAGCCCTAAGTGTCTGACGTCAACACCGGCGGCTACTGGAACATCACTGCAGCGTCTGAAACGGACCTGAAGAAAAGAAAGTCTCGCCAATCTAGCCTGGTTGCATTTTAAAACATTAGACTTTCAGAATGACTTTGACTTTTTTGCTTTATTTCCGGTTCAGGGACTTTCTTCACCTTTGAGGTGTTGAGTACGTCTGTCGAGATCTGTGAAGAAGGTTATCTGACTGATTTTCAAGATACCTGCATTGTGCCAGCTTCTATGAGAACACAGCATTGAACATACAAAATAAATGGCCATGTCTGCCTAAGACAATAAACAATACACGGTTATTACAAGGTTGCATCGCCAGACACTTCTATCCAAGGGACGTCGTCACAACTTAGGGCCGCGGCCTGAACCGGATCGGAGCCTGGCGCTACCACTATTGCTCCAACGAGTATACCAAAAACTCACCTCAGATCATGCAATAGCAAATTACAACTACGACTACCTATCTACAGCTTCAAGTCAAATGAAAGAATTTCATTTCAAAATGGACCGAAACAACCACAACAAAACTACAAGATGGCTGGCCATTCTTGTACTCTTCACGATGCAACTACTCAACGCAAATGCCGCCGTAGTAACCGTCTGGACTACGGTAAAACTGCCTGCACCAACACAAACTGCCCCGTTATCACCATCGTACACCTCCCTCGACAAGTTCAAGGATGATATGTTGAAAGTCACCAACGAGTACCGCGCCAATCACGATGCCGGTCCACTGAAATGGAACGATACACTGGCTGAGTACTCGCAGGAATGGGCAGACGCCTGTATCTGGAAGCATTCGGTGTGTATCAATATCCCTAACACTACGATATAACAATGCTAACATCACCCGTGTAGAAAAGTAGCTACGGCGAGAACCTCGCATTTGGATACAAGAATGTCTCTGCTGCTGTCATCGCCTGGGGCGACGAAGGCGAGATGTATAACTTCGACAAGCCGACAGGCTTCACTGAGGCGACGGGGCATTTCACCCAGTTGGTCTGGAAGTCGACTACGCAGGTTGGCTGTGCTGCTGTCAACTGTGGGTATAAGAAGGATGACAACGCCAAAAGAGATGGCGAGATCGAAGTAGGAGAGGAGGCTCTCGAAGGGGCGTTGATGACACCTCGTTTCAGCGGGGATGGAGCGGAACGAGATGGCCTGGAAGGACTGAAGGTTGCGCGAGGCGAGCCGCGAGCTCAGGGGTGGTATGTTGTTTGCGAGTATACACCTCCTGGAAATGTTGTGGGCTTGCAGGATTCCTACTTCAGGAAGAACGTCTCGCCAAAGAAGGAGCCTGGCGTTGAGTCACCGTCAACGTCTTCTTCGTCCACGACTTCTGAGTCTTCTTCCACGTCTATGCCTCAGCCATCGCCGTCGCCGAATGCCGCGGCATCCACTACCATCGGGAGTCGTCGACCTAAGCATCATGGGCATACGGGATGTGCTATAAAGTTCGAGCTGAATTCGACATTGGGGATGATGCTGGTAGCACTGGGAACGGTGGGTGTCGCAAGCGCACTTTACGGCTGAGATAGTTTACTTTAAATAATTTAAATAAGAGATACAAGGTTGAACTTTGCTAGGAACTGGTTTCGTAGCCATCTCTCATGCTTATCCACATTGCACATTTGGTCGGGAGGCGTACCGCTCGATCTATTGATTTTTGGAATGTCCCAATCCTCACTGGGCTTGCCCAGGGGACCTAAAAGAAACACAAGGGGACAGAAGGCTGGGTTCAGGCACAAGCGCGAAACGCCAGCAGAGAAACAGGGGGAAAAGAGGAACAAAAGGAAACACATTATTTGCGAAAATAGAACAGACAGATTCATCAGCCAATGACCTCCTCGGTCTCCTCGATAATCTCCTCCACAATCTCCTCGACCACGGAGTCGCCCTGGTCTTCGACAACGGGGCGGGCGTCGGCGGCGGCTGAGGGTAAATCTGCGTCCTCGGGGAGGCTGAAAGCCTCCTTCTCTTCGGCCAGGAGCTCCTTCTCCCGACGGAGCCAGGCGAGCCACTCGCTGAGTACACGCTTGCGGGTCTCGACAACGGCGGTGTTGGCAATGTCGACAGCGTACTTGTCTTCCTCGTCGAACTCCTTTGAGTACTCGCGGAGGTTCTTGCGCACTTGCTTCTGCTCCTCTTTGCTGAGAAGAGTGGCAGGGCGTGGGCGCCAAAGGAACTGCTTGAACTTTTCGGTGGGGTTCTCGGAAAGGGTAGTACCGGAGAAAGTGTGCATGTTCCAGCCGTTCTCCATCTATAATGCGGTCAATATTATAAATCATAATCGAAGATAGAACTAGGTCGAGTCTTACCGAGTGAGTCCACACACTGGCGCTGCTGACAACGTAACGACCGGTAGAGTCCCAGTCAACATCGGTGACACCGTAATGCTCCACGGTCTTCATCAGCTGGAGGTTGGCTGCGAGATCCTTCTCAGCCTCGTTCTTCTCGCCCTCGAAGTCCATATCATAGAAGTCCATATCGAAGTTGGTCTGCGAGTGAACAGTGGCAACAACAACGAATCGACCCTTAGGCGACCAGTAGATACCGTTGCTGGTCTTCTTCTCAATAGTGCGCACCAGCTTGAAGTTGCCGGCAGTATAGCCCTTCTTCTCAGGCGCGAAGAATGAGACGGAAGTCTTAGGGAGGACGGCGGCACCAGCTGGTGCCTCGCCGTTAGCGATAACGACGAATCGGGATCCATTGGGCTCCCAGGCAAAGTTAATCACGGTTTCCTTAAGACTGTCAACAACCTCAACGGGCACACCCTTCTCACGGACGCGGAAGATCTCCAAGTTAGTGGCCAGGGACTTCTTCGACTTAGAGTGACGGTCGACCTTGACACAGACGTAGGCACCCTGTGATTGCCAGTGCAGCTTGACATCGGAAACGTTGAACAGGTTACGGGTTCGGACAACCTCCTTTGAGGGCACGCTCATCATACCGACACGGGCGGGGTTGCTGCCGATTTCAGGAGTCCAGAAGCAGAGCAATTGCTCGTACTGCTTGATACCCTCGCGGGCGACGGTAGCAGGGGACCACTCGAAGTCCATAGCACCCTCAATCTTGACAGAAGTGCGACCAAGAAGGTTCATGTTGGGAAGTTCGTAGATAGAGAGAGATTGGCCCTGGAGCATGCGAGCAACGTACTTCTCATCCGCGGACCACTTGAAGGCAGGCCACTGCACCTTCTTCTTGGGTGCAACATCGCCATCGATCTCGGCAGGGGCAGCCAGATCGTGCGACACAAAGGAACGGAGAGGCTTGCCAGTCTCGATGTCCCAGACAATGATGTTCTTGCCGTCCTCCTCGTAGGTCAATAGTGGCTGGCCTTCCTCAACCTGGATGGGCCGTGCTGACCAGGTTGTCAAGTAGCCCTCAAGTGGGGAGAACTCGATCAACTGCACGAAGGGGTGAGGGAACTGCTTTTGCTTGGAGAAGGACTCGCCGCCCCAGAGTTGGACACCCTGGGGGTGGACGGAGGCAAGGAATGTACCCTTGGGGGACCATTGAACGAAAAGTTGTGTCCAGTGAGCGCGATCCACGATATTCTCTGGTGGGTTTGTCTTGTTGTTCCAGAACACGCCAACCTTGTCGCCACGGTAAAGGGCGAATTGATCCCGGGCGCTGCTATCTCCCATCCACGAGCGCAAGTGCTCCTTCTGCTTGAACGGTTCCGGGGTGGGTGCCTTGTATTCTTCATCGACCCGACCTTCGCGACCATAACGCTCGATATCCATCAACTTGTTGACAGCCATAATGTGCTTCTTATCGAGAGGGACGCCGTGCAACTGCTTGACGGCGGCAACTGCCATTTCCGGGGTTTGATATTCCACAAAAGCGAACCTATATCGCCCCAACGAAAGTTAGAGATCGTCCATGATTCCTCCATATCTCATTGGATATCCAAACACTCACCCTTCGGTCATCTTCTTGTCGTTAACGGGCATGAAGACCGCATCTTCGGAGGTGCTGCCGACAGAGTTGAGTTTTCTCAATAAGAACTTGACGAGTTTTTGCCGGCTATCTTCGGGCACAACGGGGAGGCCATCGATGACGATAAATGTGTCCAGTCCCTCCTCGACTTTCACTTCATATTGCTCCTTGAGATCTGTGGATTAACGTGTTAGAGAGAGGGGCACACAGACCATGAGAAATCTTGGACTTACCGGAGAAATCAATCTCCTCCTCCTCTTCCTCGTGGAGATCCTGCTCGGACAGGGTATCGAAACTGGGCGCCATGATGGGTATACCGAAGGCGTCTAGAGGCTTCGGAGCAAAGATAGATCGGTGCAATCCACTGATGGATTTTCGGGCAGAAACAAATCGCGGCGGCCAAGCGGGTTCTTTGTGTGGACTGACTCAGCACTGAGTCAGCATATGTATATTTATGCCTCAGGCTTTAAGAAACACGTGACCAAATTGCATCTGCTTAGTCACGATTTCCCCAGCTTGAGGTCGGGCCCGTCAATCATCATAGACGTTTCAAGCGGCTCTGAATTTGTATACATTTCTTTTAGACTGCATATCTTGCACCAAGCTCTTTGCCTTACCAGATCTTGGTCTATCATTTTTTTCATAACCCTCTTGTCTCTGCACTTATTTCGCTGGCATTTCTGTCTCCAATGCCCCGCCGGTCTTAAGCGCCAGTGCGACTTGAGTATAGCCCACCTGACAACTTCGAGCTCTCCCTCGACAACTATACTTCTCTACAAACCCCCGGTATCCCAATTGTGAACGGCAAATCTAAACTCAGCTCGTCCGTCTGAACATAAGCAGCCAATCTACGTGATCTACCAGCAACAGGATGTCGTGTAAGCTACCTCGGTGTTGCCCCGGGGCCAACTGCCGATTCTCCAAAAAGCCCCCCAAAAGCCTCACAACTAATCGGTGATATTGCGCAATAGTAACCTCTGAGTTGCGCGACAAATATATCGACATAATTGACGATATTCTCGCCAAAAGCGACCTCACTACCATCTCCGAGAAGCGAATTCGCAAAGGTCTTCAGGATGCCGTCGGTTATGATCTCACTCCGATGAAGGTCAGTCAAGTTCCGACGATTTATGGCGCAAGGTTATTTCGAAGCTATACAGGATGACCGGCAAATAGCTGTGGCTGACATTCGCAAAGTCTACGATCAAGCAGCTGATCATGGAACGATTTGATCGCTACGCCGAACAAAACGGTGTTGGCGGGTCGCCTGATGAAACTGTTCCAAGCAATGGTCAGCACGATGGTGATTCAGCTTCAGCTGCGGTGCCCTCCCCGCCTCCCTCCTCGTCTCCTGTGAAGCGCCAGGTCTCCAGCGATGCCACTTCCGAGCCCGCAAGCGCATCGCCGCCTGTCAAGAAACAAAAGCCCGATACTGATACCGATGCGGATGCGGTGTTTGCGGCCAAACTGCAAGCTGAAGAGAATTCGCGCGCACGACCTACCCGTGGAGGCAACACTCGGCGTGCAGCTCCCGTGAAGAAGAAGAGCAAAGTTAAGACCTCGAAGAGGGTCAAGGCAGAAGATGATTCAGATATTGGCTCAGGCGAAGAGCCTAAGAAGGAGGTCAACCGAAATACTGGGTTCCACGTATGCCTTCCTTATATTATCCTTCCCAAACCTCCCATCAATTTTAACACGGCCACAGAAACCTATGAACCTTTCCGAACCTCTGTCCGCACTTCTGGGAGAACTTACAGTGAGCACCTCTCCCGATTATTGACCACTAGGCCTTGCTAATTTTTGCACAGCTTTCGCGACCACAAACCGTCAAAAAGGTTTGGCAGTACATTCGCGAGAACGAGCTTCAGGACCCGAGCGATCGCCGCCAAATCCTCTGCGACGACGCTATGCGTGCTGTCTTCAAACAAGATCGAGTCCATATGTTTACTATGACTAAAATTCTGAATCAGAATTTGTACAACCCCGATGAGTAGTTCGGGGGTGACAGATTGGCTTCGGTCATTATGGAAGAGCAGGCTCCAAACCAAGTCCTGTTTCTTAACGATTCTCCTTGGTCTTTCATGGTTCTTTTTTTTTTGCGATGCATGGGGATGCTGGCGTGAATTTTGAGCAATTTTCATTCCCCATTTTTGTTTCTTTTGGATTTGACTTGCTTATGCTCTCCAGCAGGAGTTGGTGTAGCCCTCCATAGGTGATTTTACAGTCTCGAAGGTCCTGGAATCCACCACCTATATGATATACATATGTGCATATCCTTCCCATATAGACTGTAAATTGTAACAGCTTACAATTTGTCCTTCTAGGTCAAGTATACTTGGACGTCATGGATATTGACGTTTGCTCTCTGCGCAGCTTCTGCCCAGGTGATGCTCCCTGAGTTGTCAAGTTCCCCTAGCCTATAGATACATTGTAACCAGCGGCCTTTCTATTACCAGCCAAAGAGTCTTTTATTCCAAGGCTGGCTCCCAGCTCGTCATATTTCGGATAAGCTTGGTGTGCCGCTGGTTCTGTGCTCGAGACCGAACGGTGGACCAGATCTAACAACAAAGCCGACATGTCTGGGTTGGTGTACGGGATCTTGTTGCTGCAGTCCTTGGATAATCCCGCGAGCAGGTATGTCGAGATAATGATTGTACGTTCTTGGTCGGCATTTGTAGGAAAGTAGGCCAGTGCTAACAGGCCGATGAATCTGCCCAATAACAATTGTGTGCTCACCGGCATGGCGCTTGTATAAGGGAGTGGACAAACACAAGTATGGCTTTGTATAGATGCTTTAGGGGTCACTTAATCCCTCAACGAAGTTTTTCGCGTAATCAAAGACACAGAGTGTGATCGGTTGAAGACCTCATATCTTCATCCAATGTCCGTCGGCATGCGGGATAAGTCAGCGACATCTCACTTTTTTCCAGAACCTCTCCCCCACCACAATTCACAAACTCCAGAGCTCTGCAGCTCCAGCACACTTGTTATCGACGCCGAGCCATACCTTGCATTGTGACATTTTTCCCCGTCTCCGCAATGGCCGATAACCAGGCCCCAGCCCCAGAATCGTCCAGCCAGGGTCGTGGCGGGCGTCGCCGCGGCCGCGGAGGGGCAGCTCCCCCCGGCCGTGGAGATTCGCAACACAATACCGGCGATGGAGAAAAACGGCCTAAGCCTCGCACCCGCGGTGGTGGTCGTGGCAGCGGCGGTGCAGGCCGACAAACTCGCAATACTGATCAGACCAACAATCACGATACTCAGCCCACGAAAACCACGACATCAGCAACAAAGAAACCGGTAGAAGCGGCCACGGACGATGCAGATGATGGGGAAGTCTGCTTTATCTGCGCTTCTGCCGTCGAACATACCTCGGTCTCCCCCTGTAACCACAGAACGTGTCACATTTGTGCACTTCGGTTGCGCGCACTGTACAAGAACAAGGCTTGTGCTCATTGCAGGGTATGATCATCTTGCGACTATTTCTCGACGAGCTGCTTTACTTTTTGTTGGAATTTTGTTTCACTTGCTGACTCGTATACCAGACTGAATCGAACTTCGTGATCTTCACAGATGATCCAGTGCGGCGATATGAGGAGTTCGACAAGAAGGACTTTGCTCGGATAGACGACAACCTTGGCATCGAATACGAAAATGATGAGATCTTTGGAGACACCGTTCTGTTGCTGCGATACAATTGTCCGGACGAGGACTGCGATGTGGCCTGTTTGGGGTGGCCAGACTTGCACCGCCATGTAAAGAGCAAGCACAGCAAAGTTATGTGGTATGTTAATATCAGAACCTGCGCAATTTTGAATCAGCAGCTGACTGTGCCCACCGTCTAGTGACCTTTGTACTCGTAACAAGAAGGTCTTTACTCATGAGCATGAATTATTCACCCCAGCGGAATTGCGTAAGCACGAAAGGTCCGGCGATGACAAGCCTGGAGCTATAGACCAGAGTGGCTTCAGGGGCCACCCCGAGTGTGGTTTCTGTCGTCAACGGTTCTATGGCGACGACGAGCTTTACAGCCACTGCCGCGATAAGCACGAACGTTGCCACATCTGTGACCGACGCTCTTCCCACCGTCAACAACAATACTACATTGACTACAACGCACTGGAAAATCACTTCCATAAGGACCATTTCGCTTGCCTGGATAAAGAGTGTTTGGAAAAAAAGTTCGTCGTTTTCGAGTCGCAAATGGACTTGAAGGCTCACCAAATCGAGGCACATCCAGAAGGCCTTTCTAAGGACATTCGGCGAGACGCGAGAATGGTTGATCTGGCTGAATTCGATAATATGCGCACTCCTTACCAACAGCAACGCCAACGTCGCGGTGCCGGCCGAGGCCGTGACCCCAACGCCGAGCCACTGCCAGTCTCCAGTGCACAGCCAATGACCCGTGCAGAAGTTGCATACCAGCGACAGATGGCTATCCAGAGTTCTCAGTCTGTCTCAACACGAAACTTTGGCGGCCAGCTGACTAGAGAGGACGTCCAACCAGTGCGTGCTCCAGAGCGATCCGCCACTACCACTCCGGCGCAGTCTGCCTCTACGTCACGCTCTCAACCTCTTCCTACTGCTGCATTTGAAGGCATGAACATTTCTGCCAACTCCGCGCCAGCTACCGCACAAGACCAGACCCGCCGAATGCGCCATGAGGCTGTGATTGAACGTGCTTCCAATCTCCTCCGCAATGATGCTACCAAACTCGCCGAATTCCGTAGCAAAGTATCAAGCTACCGCGCCTCTTCCATCTCAGCCACTGAGCTCATCGATGCCTTCTTCTCATTATTCGACACATCCAGCACCGAGCTGGGCAAGCTCATCAAGGAGCTCGCTGAGATCTACGAGGATGAGTCCAAGCGCTCCGGTCTCCTGCGATCCTGGAATGACTGGCGTGCCATCAACGAGGATTACCCAGCCCTTCCAGCCGGTGGTCTTTTACCTGGCATGTCAACAGGCGCTGTCAACACTGGCGGCCAACGCGTCCTGCGCCTGAAGTCATCAACTGCTAAATCCTCCCGCTCTGCTGTGGGCAGAAGCGGTGCCCTCCCAAACGCCCCCTCCAACCCCTTCCCTCCCCTTTCTGCCGCAGCTGGTTCCTCATCTCGCCGTGGAAAAGCTTCTCCCGCCACCCCTTGGGCATCGGCAGCCCCGCCGCCATCTCTCTCCCGTCCTGCGATGCCTAGCCCGGTCAGCCGCCCATCATCTGCAGTACCATCCTCCAGTCGCACGTCCGCCGCGCCTGCTCCCCGCGGCGCCGATTCATTCCCCGCTCTTCCCGCAGCGCCCAAGCCCAACGTCCTCATGGCTGGCAAGACTCGTGGCACCGTCCGTTGGAATGATAACCGCGGCCCTGCCCCGAACGCATGGGGCTCAGCCCCGAGTTCCGGAACCGCCTCTCCGGCCGAACCCAGCAATGACGACTCAAGTAATGGCAAGAAAGGGAAGAAGAACAAGGGAAAGCAAACCCTGTTCCACTTCGGTTAATTTACTGTCACATTTCGATTGATTTACGTTTCTTATGTTGATTGGGCCTTGCTGTGGCCTATGTTTGATTGAATACCGCATGACGGGGAGCGCTATCAAAACGCATATCATGCGTTGGGGTAAATTTCTTGTTCTTTTTTTGTTGTACCTACTAGCGAATGCAGATACAATGTATTGTATAGAGGTAATCCATGTTATTTTAACTTCATGTGTTTGATATCATATATTAGGGAATGATGTGGCCTTCACAAACCGTCAAGTCATCAAACCATCACCATAGAAGTACATAAATATGATCGACAGGAATTGGGGACAATAAAAAGGCCAGTTCACTTACTATCCTCATCAACTTCAAGTCCTTCAGATCAATACCACACTATCATCGTCAATGAAATGCTCGGACTCAGAATCCAAATCAGATTCGATCATAATGCACTCGGAAACACGTGTGTTGTCCATTCTTTCGTTATCCCCGGTCGAACCCAACCCTTGAGTTTCTGGTGTATGAACTGATAGATTGGAAACAGGTTCAGCATGAGCCTCTATCTCACTTTTATCACCAGCGTATAACTCCATCTCTCTGTTGATGGCAGTCATACGCAGCGCAAATTCATCCTGCAGTTTAATCAACAAAGCCTGAAGACCAGTGTTATCCATCGTGCCATCACGGGCAAGAAATAACTGTTCACGCAGAGACAAAAGTAACTTCCGTTTCTGGGCGATAGCAATGGCACGCGACGAGCTGCTCCTACGTCTAGCTAGCTGGTCCATTGCTTCCGAGACGGAGCGCGCCTTATTCAAGACGGCAGGGGGGAGGTCAGCGAGCTTGGCGAGGACAAGCCCATATCGACGATCTGGAACAGGGCCCTCTGCAATGCGGTACTGCATGGTCATTTTGGATGCGTCGGGAGCGATGTCTGCTGCTAAGTGGAGATTGATCACACCGCTGCGCTCGGCGAGAATCTGCGCCAGGTCGTGGAAATGCGTGACAAACCAGACCAGGGCTTTACTAGAGATGAGTGCTTCTGCTAGCGCGACGGCGATAGCGAGGCCGTCGGTGGTGCTAGTGCCGCGGCCTAGCTCGTCGATGATGACCATACTGCATGGCTGGATGTTACGAAGGATGAATGCCATCTCCCGCATCTCTGCTGCGAAGGTCGAGACGTTCGCATCTAGATCATCTGACGTGGCGACGCGGGCGAAGAGTTGGTGGGAGATTGGGAAGGAGGCGTATTGAGCTGGGACGAAGCAGCCTATCTGCGCCATGACTGTGACCAGGGCTAATGAGCGGATGTAGGTCGACTTGCCGCTCATGTTGCAGCCTGTGATGATCTGGAATCTTGTTTGCGGCGTTGCGTATGCATCGTTTGGGATGAACTTGCTGCTATGAATTTGTTCTCTGATTGGATGACGTCCCGCCTTGATGGCAAGAGTGTCGGTCAGCTCTGGTCTGATGTACTCATTGTTCGTTGCTAGCTGAGCGAATGCCCCGAGCATGTCTAGCATTGAAATTGCTTCACTGACTCGAAAAAGCCCGGATACTTCGGTGCACACGTCTCGGACAAGGTCCTGGATTGTCTGGTCGCTCATATTGATCACCTCGCTATGGGCATCGGTGATCCTTTGGTTTAGTTTGACCAAATCCAACGTCTGGCACTCGATGCGGTTTCGCTTGCGGTACACGTTGATAAAAACATCCGGCAGCGGACCTCGTTCTGTGGCAGGTATACAGATATAGTATTGCCGTGCTGTATCATACTTCAAGTCCAAGACCATGTCGCAACTCTCTGAGATAGGTCAGAATCATTCATGAAACTCATATAGGTTCCGACGTGCCTGCTAATTTCTCAATCAGCTCTGTGGCGTCTGCATTCGCCTCCTTATAGGTCTGCCTCGCAACATCGAGCAGACTGTTGACACCGGCCTAATTCATGTTAGCAAACTGTACGCAGCGTACAGGTAAACGAGTCCTAACCTTGACGCAATAAATGCGCTGGTTCCTCAGATCAAGTGGCTTTGACTGATAGGCTACATGTTCATTCAGAGTTCTGTCAATCAGCTCTCCAATTGAACGATGCCCCTCAGGAGCACACAACTAGAATGCATTAGTTTGAGTAAAACATCAAAGGAATGTAGAGTCTACTTCGCGTATGGTACGCAGCAAATCGCTTTGTGCTGCTCCAAGCGCCTGGAAGATTTTTTTGATGGCAGACACATAAGTCTTGAGCATGATGACATTGTTGACAGACTGTTCGACGTATTGTATTGTCCGCTTGGTAGGAACCAAGATAATCTTGATAATCCGTTAGCACGAGTCTTCAATACTAGCTACCCTGGGAGACCCAACCGCGGTCAAGACTTTATCTGCATCAATGAAGCCCTTGAGCGCCTGTCTTACAGACACAAACATATGCTCTTTGGTGGTCAGATCTTCCACAGCATTGTATCTGGCTGTCAACTTGACTCGTTCTGTTGAAGGCTGTAAGATGCTAGCGCGGAGTAGTCTGGCTCCCATAGGCGTCAATGTCTCATTCAATAGCCCAAACAGACTTTCTTTAGACTTCGCATTTTGCAGGTTTTGGATAAGTTCGAGGGAGACAATAGTCGCCAGGTCAATTGTCATGGACCCCTGTGACGGTTCGAAGCGTATGCGAAGAGAATGCGTGATAAAAGATCGCTGAAGTTCGACCTCAACATACTTGAGGACCTAATTCCTATGTGAGTATTCTCGTTTGGCAACATTAATTGTGTCCATACTGCGGCAAAGCAACACGCTGCGAAATAGTTCCCGCCCAGAGTCAACTTGAGCGAGTCGACTTCCTCTGGGAATGCCAGCCGCTCTACATAATCATGACCTGTCTTTTCAGACCACCATCTGCGGTCCAGAAAGGTGAGGATAGGATCTGGCAGATTCTCTTGGATGATATAACGGAGCTTCGACTCTTTGGCGGTGTTCATGAACAGAATCTCGCTAGGTTCAAAAACACCAATTTTAATGATTGTCTTGACGTAAGTCTGGCTGTCACATATCTGACAGAGCACTGCTTCAGCTGTCGCAAGATTGACAAATGCAAGGCCAACAGTGGATGAGACACCCCGCGATTCACCGACAGCGCAGATGATGTCTTGTGCTGCGACACTGGTGGCTATCGTGGTCGGCCTTGCCGTTGGATGTCTACTTGTGCCCCTGGAGGCTGATGGCGAAAAAGAATCCAGAGAATCCAGGGAATTCAATGAATTCAATGAATAAACCGACATTGTGAAGCCCAACTCTTATGGCCGAGACTGGTGTAGATGGATAAATCGATACGGCCGATAAGATAAGCGTCGAGATATTTTTGCTGTCAAAATTTCTCTTCTTCCCCCATCGACCTGAAAATCAATAACAATGTCGACCCTCTATCCTCCCCCCAGCAAGCGCCAAAAGCTCGTCCAGGCTGATAAGGCCCGTGAGCAGCAGGAAATTGAGAGTATTCCGTCCGATTTGGGTAGTGTTCGAGTTCAATTCTTCGACCAAGCAACCGGGCAGCCCACCGGGCCTGCGGTCTCGGTCCCAGTCGCCGATGCCAATGTGAAGAACCTTGAGACTCTGCTGAACACATTACAAGGAAATGTAAGATTTGCACCTTGGGATGACTTGACAATTGAATGTTGTGTTGACGGCGATTTCTTTCCAGGAGGATGATGGACGAGTACCATACCGATTCGCATACCATTCCGAAAAAGAGGAACAAACGATCGACATTCTCCGCGATGTGTACCACTCGCTACTCCAGCCCGGTATCAAGACCACAGAAGATACAGTATCGCTCTTCTACACACCGCAGGCGGTTTTCCGAGTGAGAGCTGTTTCACGATGCGCGGCCTCCATCGCGGGTCACGGCGAAGCAATTTTAGCAACATCCTTCTCCCCAGTCTCATCCTCCACCATGGTCTCCGGAAGTGGAGACGCAACTGCTCGTGTTTGGGACTGTGACACTGGAACCCCGAAACACACGCTCAAGGGCCACACCAGCTGGGTGCTGGCAGTCGCATACTCACCGAACGGTGCCATGATCGCGACCGGCAGCATGGATAACACCGTGAGGTTCTGGGATGCAAAGCAGGGCACGGCGCTAGGCACAGGGCTCAAGGGCCACGCAAAGTGGATCACGAATCTGGCATGGGAGCCATACCACGTGCAGGAGTCTGGGCGGCCGCGCCTGGCATCCGCCTCCAAGGACTCGACTGTGCGCGTGTGGGATGTCGTCTCGAGAGTTACTGACCATGTGCTCACCGGCCACAAGTCTTCGGTTACTTGTGTGCGATGGGGTGGTACAGGCAAGATCTATACTGCTTCCCACGACAAGACCATTAAGATTTGGAACCCGAAAGATGGCACCCTGCTCCAGACCCTGGCAGCGCATGCCCACCGTATCAACCACCTCGCTCTGTCAACAGACTTTGCTCTTCGCACCGCTTACCATGACCACACTGGCAAGGTCCCTGTGACCGAGGCTGAGAAGGTCGCCGCTGCGCGCAAGAAGTTTGAGGAGGCGGCGACAGTGAACAACACTATTGTCGAGCGGTTAGTATCTGCCAGTGATGATTTCACAATGTATTTGTGGGAGCCGTCCTCTTCTAGCAAGCCTGTCACACGGATGCTAGGTCACCAAAAAGAGGTGAACCATGTCACCTTCTCGCCGGACATGGCCTATATCGCTTCAGCCGGATTCGACAACCATGTCAAGCTGTGGAACGGCCGTGATGGAAAGTGAGTGTCTCCAATCTTTGATCGTTGTAATTTACAGCTAATATCGCCTCAGGTTCATCACTACCTTCCGCGGCCACGTGGGCGCAGTCTACCAGTGCTGTTTCTCGGCAGATTCGCGCATGCTGGTGTCCTCGTCTAAGGATACTACTCTCAAGATCTGGGATCTGCGCACCGGCAAGCTCAAGATGGATCTTCCGGGACACAAGGACGAGGTATTTGCCGTCGACTGGAGTCCTGATGGACAAAAGATCGCCAGTGGAGGCAAAGACAAGGCGATCAAGATCTGGCGGAACTAGATCTAGTCGCACTTGACATCAACTTGCCTAAAACATGCTCTTGACAGACAGCTAGTCTTGTATAGGTTTTTGCCGTCTGATGTTGCATGCATCGAAGACGAGCACAATGTCCAACGCGCGTTGGCAGTAGCACTTTGTGTGTACCCTCGAATTGAGGGAATCATGGGTGCCTCAACCCCCATAGTCAACCCTTCGTGGGTTGGATTCACATCATAAGTCTATAGGCTTATTTACCCCATGGCAGAGAAGCACAAGGCTGCCTTACTGCATGCCACGGTCCATGGCCTGGATAAACGAGCGAACCATAGGAACTCCGAGAGGATTCTCCGTTTCGGACTAGATCTTGCAATATAGATGCATGGAAGTTAGATGGTGATTTAAGTGTGTGGATTGATTGATGAACCATGTCCTGCCTACTGCCTGGGGCATAGGCTACAAGAGGACCCCCTTTTATGTTACTTAGTTGCATTCTCATGAATATCATTTTTTGCGTATCAACAGAATTGTTTCACGGCATAGCTTCACTGTGCAAGGCCACATCTAGCTGATGTACCTACATTTATAAGGCCATAAAGCAAGTGTCCATGCCCCAGTATAAGGACTCCATGTAGACAAGTTGCAGAATGGGAAAGAGCAATACCGTCCAGGGTGTGTAAGCAGACACGATTAGGGAAGGTACATTAGAGAACCGTTCTGGGAAGGTGCGAGTGCTATGGGTATAACCCCCCCCCCCCCCTTCGCCCATCTTTCTTCCTCTTCTCTTCTCTTCCTCCAACCCTCTCGACCACCTTTCTGTAACCCTTCTAAGATGTAGGCGGACTTCGGGAGGGTTATGCCTTGCCTACGCACAGAGATATTAACACCAGTTGGTGCGAGCCCTTGATATATCCATGGCTGAGAATTTGGGCTCCATAGCCATGAGCAGTCCCACAGAATACAATATGCTTTTGCTGTGATATCTTTGTCCTATCTCAGGTAGGTTAAAGTGAGACAAAGTGTTACCCTCCTTCCACAACCCCTGCAGCCACTGATGACATACTGACTTGAACTTTCGAGTTTGTAGACTTAAAAACCATATGGGTGTTCCTGAAGCTTCTCGGCCCATTACAGCAGGTGCCGAGGTACATAATGTTTATCTTGCAACACAGAACCCGAAAGATATGAGATATAGATTGTTACTTTATTAAATCCAAATAACCTGTATCCAGATAAACAAGGAATGTAGTTATTATACATTGCATATCGAGGAAAGCAACATTTACAAGAAATCAAAACAAGCTAGAAAAGAACATCAACCACATTAATGACCTAGATATACTGCCAAGCAGGAACCTCCCCATCATAAGTCAAAGCGACAGCAGAGAATCCAAGACACTCATCAACATTGCCATGGGGCACAGTAGCATTCTGAATGGCCGCAAACACCTGCCAGCGGCTATCATCAGTCGGGCAAGCCATGAACCCACTGGCACCCCAACCAGCGAAGGAGTAGTGAGCCCAGGGCTCGTCAGCAGCGTACTGGAACGGGCCGCGTGAGGAACCCTCCGGGATATTGGCCGAGTGGGCCTGGGTGAAGCTGAGGGCACCGTTGGGGTCAACGTAGACCTGCTGGCCGCCAGGAACCATGACGTCCTGTTTATTGTTAGCGAGTGTTGCTTTTTGTAGTATGTGAGTATATAGTGTGACTTTTGACTTACTAAAGAGCCGCCACCGGGAGCGAAGACGGTTTGATTTCCGGGTGGGCAGTTTGAAACCTGCTCCGGGCAGTAAGAGGCTGTTTCCCCGTGGAGGTAGAACTTCTGACCGGCAGCGTTCAGCTGTGCGAAGTGGATTGGTGAGGCGGAGCGCATGGCCATCACGCCGAACGCCGGGTTTGGGATGGCGGGTGGCTGGCTGGTTGGCGCGGAGGCAGCCAGGAGGGGAAGGGCTAGGGTGGTGACTGTGAACTTCATGGTGGATATTGAGGATTGAAGGCTCGTGTTGCTTTTGTATAGTTGAATAGATGCTCGATGTGAATAGTAACAAGAATGGGCGGTTGTTGAACCTCTTTATATAGACCGATCAGGAGAGCAATATAAATAGAACTCACATTCCGGGGAATTGGATCAAAGGGACTCTCCGTCATGACTGTCGGATTTGACCGCTAGAGAGGCTAAGGTGGCGAGAGTCTCATTCATTGGATGGCGGATGGAGGATTGTGAGAGTTTGAGACAGTCCATATTCCGAATATAATCCTCTTGTGCATGGTTTATGCAACGGTAGGAGGTTGGGTTACTACCGAGGATGTTATTTTTCGTCGCTCAGGCGAAGATATGTGAGACATGGAGAACAATTCATCTGCCAAGAATGAGGGAAAGCTTTACGCGAATCCAAGTGGCTGGTACATACATGACATAGCGGATTGAAGATGATTAGAAGTGGATTAGATATCGTTAACCTTGGAAGAATCGGGGAGTTTGGGCGAAGATCTTCTGCCCTTGTCTCAGTTTATAATTGGCACATTGACCACCTCACTACTCTAATGCGAGATTGTTTCTCAGTAACAGTCGGCTTAACCCGCAAATATCCACTTTATTCTATACGACAGACATCTACGTTTGATGTCATTCGTTACTCAAACTCCTACTCGACCTCGGGAACCTCTCATCTAACCCCCCACGCCCCATCACCGTCATGAACACCTCGCCTCCAATTCCCCGGAAAACCCAACGGACCGAGAAATGAACCCGACTACTAGAAAATACACTGGGAGTTTCATTTCCAAGGAAATAATCACACACCGTCCAACGCCACTGACGCCCTATCTGCACCGGCGAACATGCAGGAATATTCCATGTCTCACCGGACCCTACATCCCACTACAGCCTATACCGGCTAGTTTGGCAATATTGAAAGCCTTGACGCAGTCCGGATCTTGCGACTGTGCCGGAATTGCTGCGGTGTGATAACAATGTCCTGCAGGGACGCGGCAACACGCATACCCGCGACCTCGTCTGCTTGTACCGCGGATATACTAGTTCAGCGATGGCACAGGGCAGACTACCCTACCGCAATGGCGTGGAAGCTTCCGTCTAGAAGTTTCTACCTGTTGCCCTGTGTCAGGATGGCGTGAGGATGGACATAACCAGTTGGGTGATTGTCGATTATCTAAGGCGAGATTTCCTGGTACGGTTGGGTGATTAGATCAGTCAGGAGAAGGATGAGGCCAGTCTGTTCCACAGTGTTGTACATTGTCCGACGTGGATAGTTCGTTGAGGTTGATGTTGGTGTTGGACAACCCGGCGTTGACGATATTCTGTCAGGTACGGTGTGAGGTTTTCTGTGGGCTGTGTTGTGTGGCGATGGTGGGCTATTTTCGTCGAGGTTTGTATGTGTAGTAAGGTAAGAATTTATACTACGCTGGGTGTGAGATGGTATGTACTATACTTTATGGACCGTGCTGTGTAAGGGATCTTTGACTTGTTGGAACATGGGTAGGTTAGTCTAGCGTACTGAGGATTTTCGAGCTGCAGAGTGGGCGCTATTTTTAACGGGAATTTGGTTGAAGGATGGTCTGGCTTGTAAGATACGGCTTGTGATACTGACCGAGTAGTAGATGTTGAACTACAACTACATTGTATATTGTACATGGACTGTCTATACACCAGGCTCTCATACAAGGCCATCTGAGACATAACTACGATCTACAGGACCCACTACACATGTGGATATCACAGTATGGAGTATAGAATAGAATAACTGGACAGATAACTGAAAAACCTCGGTGGATTTGGATATCAAACGACTTTTTTTCTATGCTGGGTAAGCAGTATCAGCACTCAGCAATTCAAACCGGACCTCAATTCGCCGAAAAGAAAAGTGTATGTACGTGCGGCAATTGGCCGCAAAGGATATGGATAGACATAGCCAGAGGCCAACAAAAGAATAAGAAAACAATCGGAAAAAAAACAAACAAACAGAAACCCTCCAGCACCGTTCCGTGTAGCAATATTGAAACCTGCAAGCCTGAGTCTTGCCCAGAACACCGTAAGCCACGCGCCACCATTTTCCCCCATGTCTTGAATCATAGCAAGCGGGAAAAAGCAAAGATAAGGAAAGATGTGACAATACGATGAGCCAAGTGCCCCCCGTGTATCGCGTAGTGCACTATGGATCAAAGAATCGTTCTTTTAATAATCGCCTTCATCATCGTCGTCTCCATCTCCACCTCGACGGTGTCCCTTTACTCCGTCCTTGCGAATGGGGATCTTGATACCCTGTAGCGCAAAGCACTTGCTGAGCTGGGTGCTCTCAATAACACCGGGGAACTTCTTGGCGGAGAAGACCTGGAAGGGTTCGGAGAAAACCGAGGCGAGAACGGGTGCGGTTCCGTGATTGATGACCGGGGCGCCGTTGGAGGTTTCCGTAGACGAGGTGCCCACGTCAACGAAGCTCATTTTCAGACTGGATTTCCATTAGCGATTTATGTCGAGTGATTTCTATTATCCGATTTGACTTACCGGAAAGTGCCTTCTGTCCGTACACTCAAATCTTGCAGGATAAACCATACACCGATTTTGTTGTCTGGGTCTGTCAATCGGAACGCACTGGCGCTAAGGCTTCCGATCAGATTGCGGGTGAACATGCCACCCGGTCCACCAGAGACGGGTTGCGCAGCGGGCGACATGGACGGTGGCATTTGACCACCAGAGTAGTATTGTGGGTAAGTCACTGGCTGACCGTATTGATTTTGATACGCCACCTGCTGACCACCGTAGTAATTGTTCATCTGCGGAGGATAGCCCACGGGGTACTGGTTCTGGTTGTAGCCGGGGTAGGTCGGAGATACGCTCTGAGGCGGGGGAGGGTATGAGGAGGACATGGCGGTAGAAATGGAGGGGGAGGTGGCGGAATGCTTGACCAGGTTGACTTCGTTGGTACCGTCGGCATTCCAGAGGTCGACAGTGAGCACGTAGAATGATGTATCGATTTCACTAAAGAGGGGTGGTTAGGAAGCCGGCGGGTAGAGAGCAGCTGGTCGGACATACTTGATATCGATTTCTTTATCGGTTTGCACGTCGCGCACAATCAGACGAATGCATGGCGGAGGAGTGATAGGTCTCCGGTCCTGGGATATGTGTTAGGTGGAAACAACTGTAATGCGGAAAAATCACCCACCTTGTCGCCAAAGCCACACATACGAGCCCGGATCGGCTGTTGCACCACTTGTAATGACCAGGAGCGACCATCATGGTAGTTTGTCACGGGTGCCAAATGGTCGGATTGCCGTAGCGAGTTGGGCCCCGACGGGTACTGGACGGACGGAGCAGAGATGCGATCCATTGAGAGCGGAGGTGGGACGGGATGATGTCTATCCTCGACGGCGTACATGGTACCGGATTGGAAGGAACCGAGGATGACTTTGGATAAAACGACCCTGGTTTATTATAGATCTATTGACAGATCTTAACTACCTGGTTGTTTCGAGGAGGGGGGTTCTGCGACATGCGACCCCGCGGGATGTTCAGACGTCACACTTGGAGCATGGAACAGAGCAAAGGAGCGCACAGTGAACAATTCCCAAATTATAAGCTCAATCCAAAGCGCCTTGAATGCGAATCCGGGAGAAAAGTGAAGCGAAGGGGTCGGAGTTCGCGAATGAGCTGACGGGAGTGGCGATATTCTGTTCACTATGTTAGCATATTCTGCCTTAGCTCTGCCTAGGGATTTTTTTGGGTCAACCGCACGATGACGCTGTCAAAGTGCGGGAGATTTGCTGGGTGTGCCACGGATCAGGAATAACATACCCGAGAGAGAAAAAAAAAAGATTGAGACGTTTTGGGAAAAAAAAGAGAGGGAGAGAGAGGAAGAGAGAGAGAGAGAGATACAAGTCTCTCTGCAGGAACCTGGACCCAAACCGTCGGGTCTCAATAAACCGACGAATTAAGACCATCCAAGAGGCTCTTCAAGTCCGCATTCGGGGATCATAGAACCCGCAAACGGTCTTCATTTGATTCGATGAAATTTTCACGACTCCATATTTGGAACCAGATATTTTAATCCGGGTGATTCTCGGACATCTATAGATATTTAAGAGATTTCTTGTACAGAATACGTTCCAGTATCTATGGAGTACAGAATGAGTACAGAATGTCCCCCATACGCATTATAAATCCCCCTTACAGTCTCCCACGAGGATGACACGTTCTGACCGTGTGGTAACCCCTTCACTCCCCTAATCATATGTGTCACAGAGTAGTAAGGCGTACAGAAATTGAAACTAAAGATGCCCTCTTAAACATGAGAAATGTCGAATCTAGGGAGCATTCCTAGACTACCCGAGGATCAAAACAGAAACAAAGAGCATCTCTACTAAAGGAGGTAGCAATGTAAATGTGATACTCAGATTTTAGTAATTCCACAGTGGGTATCTCACTGTACGTCCCTAGAGGGATTGCGATATGTGAGGTATTTCAGCCCTGGCCTAAACGAGATGCCATTTTGGACATGTCAATCTCGGCTTCAATTTGTGTTGAGGATGCACTGGTTTCAGCACTTGTTGGGCAGTCATGGCGTTGGTGATTCCCTTATTCTCTCTCAGAGAAGGGATCGGTTATTCTCCAACCAAGTCGCCGTGATACCCATTGGCGATGCGGAGTACATGTCTCCCTGGGCTGATCCTCTCCATTTATTGATCGGCATCTTGCCCCAATCCTGGGCAGGCAATGATCTGATTCGGTCCCCCACGGCTTGCATGGACGGTGTCGCGTATAAGCTGTTTGGCGTGCACGTTCCCCTACAGTGATACCAAGTCCGGCACCGTCCTACACCGTCTTCCCACACCTCCACTCCGTCTTCACCGTCGAAGCCGGATTGCGGACATCCACCTCAATCTATTCTCCCCGATCTTGCCCGAAAACTACCAGTGTCGATACCATTCTCCTACTTCACCATGACATTCGCCGCAGGCGACTTGAGCTCAGTCCAGATCTACACCGATATCGATCATAGCTGGGTTAGGCGATCGAAGCTGAGACTACACTACGAAAGGCACAAGGGGTTTTCGGATTAAAGGCGTCGATGCCCGGACATGCTTGGAAAATGGAAACGGATAAGCGTTGTGGGGTACGCCACCCGCCCCCTTGGGGCTCCTCTCTCGAACTTCATCGCTAAACCGCAGTGGTTATATGCGCGACGAGTTGATCGATTGCCTAGTCGCAACCTCAGACTACGACCGGGCTATTTACGCTGACATGGTAGACGCGGTATTTTATTCCTTGGCAGCGACACCTACACTAAGAAGTACGCCATGCGCGACATCGGCTAAACTAAAACCCCAGCCCCCAGCCCCTCGTTCGGCAAAGAAACGCCCCTAGAAGGGGGCCGCAACACAATCGTCTTAATCTACGCCTACCAGCTGGCAACAGGCAACAGGCAACACTGGCCTAGCTACAGCTTACGCACCTACGCCGAATATCTATCTCTATAGCAATAACGACGCCTAGGCGAGCTAGCAAACCAAACTAACTTAGCAGTAAAAGCTGCTATCAGTCTAGCCACCTACGGCGCGCTCATAGACTCACCCAAATACAAAGATGCAAGCAAGGCCTTCATGCACATAATTTGGTGCGAGCATCTCGGCACCGACGCAAACAGAACAAACTTCCTCATTCAGAAGTCCGGCATTACCCCTAGTTTCTCGTCTACAACCACTACACGCCGCCTGCTCTTCGACTTCAGCATATCCCCAGGCGAAGCCTACAGCACCACGGCCAAGTCCTACTCGATGGTTCGCAACAAGGTAGACATGCGGCTCGATGGTGACCTTGGCTGGGGCCAGGCTAATACTTGGGCATCATGAGGACTTTGTATTGTTATTTGAATTGGTATTGGTAGTAGCGTCTTTGATTTTATATATTATCTGAAATACAATATTGCGTCGTCAGTGTCGAGTTCAACCCGAGCTACACCGTGACGCTGGAACTAAGTCATACGGCCTCCCGAACCTTTTTCGGTCGATCGTGCCGTCGCGGGAGGTGTCAACCAAGATGTGTTACACGGCCAATCGTATGTCGGTAACTATTACAGCACAGCCTGACCGGGCTGCACTACACTATATGTTTTCTCTGATACCTACTCTGGCAAAAAGCATGGAAATATGGCTTCAGCGATAGACTGAACTGTATTGGTCAGTGTAGTGTTTCCAGCAGGTTCCTCGTATCGACGTTGCTCTTTACGACATCAGCCACAAATTCAAAGTTCATACCTCAAGGTTCAAGGTGGTACCGACCCGCAATATCAACCTTGATGATGTGCACTATATCAGAAAATACGCCCTGATTACCCGCCATTCTCAGGGGCGGCGACCCGGCGTATATACAACACAAGATGGCACAGATATACGCACCGCCGAAAAGGCCATCCGTGCGTTCGAAGAAATCCAAGGATGTCTAAAATGCATCTGCTGACCAGACCGCCACCGAACTTCACTATCCCAAGCTTCAGTCCAAATTCGGCGCGGAGACCAAATCGCACTTACCACAAACTCGAGCGGTAGGATACGCCGAAAGCCTGGATTACGTACGCCTTGTCCTGCAACATCACAGAATTAAGTGGCGTTATTGGTATCATCAGCACCAATATCCCTTAAACCCCGAACCGGGGAACAAGGCTTATGCTCGACTATCAACACAAAGACAAGCAGATGGGCGTCCTTCTCATCTTAGCAGAGAACCAAGTGGTAACCACCGGATTCACGGACTCCGGGGATCCGCCCAGAGGTGGATATCACCAGGGATCGGATTATTACGAAGCTCGGCTTTAATGTCACTCTAAACTCCGTTGCAGTCTTACACATCGCACCCAGCCTAAGCGATCAGACAATCAATCTCTAGAATGGATATATGAAACTGTCCGTCAATGTTGCCAGCTGCATGCGGTTAGCCAACTGGACCCTTGCTGCAGGGAACATGTGATCTGATGCAGCTACCCTGGCACCAAGCACAACAACTCATCACCTCACATCCTTGATTTCCTAGGCCTATATTGACGGTGTTAATAATTCCTCCTCGGCTATCTACTATACCAAAAGCTTTATCTTGCCGCCGACCAGTAAATCTACCAAGGCGGACGGTATCTTCTTCCACCTATCAAACGCAAGGCGCTATCTCAATACTATTGCCGCTTGATCTCGCTGCTACCCATGCTGACCGCGCTCAGTTCCCCCGAAAGGGTCGAAACCAGATGACCGACGTGGCATTACATCCACAGTATCTTCGGTCAGATCTAGAATACCAACGGGGTGGCGCTGCTTAATGTCTGAGCATCGACGCCACCGGGCAGTGAGAATGTGCTTATCGGCAAAGTGAAACCAGCCTTGCGAAAGGCAGTCATTAATTCGGGGGTCACTCGTTGAACATTACACGATTTATCGGCATTGAGGTGCAATAGCTGCTCTCTTTATAACTCTGTCCTACTTGACAAAGTAGATCCACTACGTACAATTAGCCTAAATCCGGGAGTTTCACATTCACAAAAGTCGGTATGCGAAAGATAAGTAACCCTAAAACTCGATATAAGCCCTAAGTCCCCCCGGCGAGAAAATCACTGCCCTGCATCTCCGAATTCACGGAATGTCACCAAGCACGCCATTTACTAAATGATGCTAAAGCACAACACGCTAAAGCACAACATCCCAGTCAAAACGGCAAGGGTTGGAAGCAAGACCCAAACAAAGAAAATATCTGCGGCTAAGTGGATGGCGAGTCAGCCCGACATAGCCCTGGAATAGATTGCGTGCGAGCCAATACCCCGAAAACTGGGAAGTAGTGTATCTAACACCTTAAGGGGTCGTGGAGATGCCTTGGAGGAATCTGGGCCCAAACATACCCTCCATTGACTGGAATAAGTAAAAGGGAAGCAAACCCGACTCAATACAATCTAGACCTTTCAAACACGAATTCGAACGTAAAGCCTAATCAGTACAATGCCGAGTTGTGGGGGAAATTGTCCGAGCTTATGTACACCCTTCTAGAAATAATAGAAATAAGATGCGATAACCTTTCAATGAAAATAATATGGGCTTAGCAGAGCGAACACGAGGTGCTAATCGTAAAGGAGATTAGGGTATGGAGTGATCGGCCCAAGATCCCGCATGGGACAGTTCAAGCGTCATCCCTGATCGGGGAAAAGCATCACTCAACTGTAACTTCTTTCGGATAGACTTGGGCCAGCCCCATATTGCTAGTCCTGAAGGGGCTTTTAGCGTGCTGAGGCTGGTGGGGTTACCGTAAACAGTCTATTTATTTTATTTTCTTTTTAATTTTGTAGAATGTTAGTGGGGTCTTAGCTTGTCCTTATACTCTCCTAGGATAGTGTCCCGAGCATCTAGCATTAGCGCGGTTCTAATGTTAATATTTCTTTATATCCATACATCCGGTTTGCCGTTTTGCGTTGGAACTTGGAATATGGGGATATGGTTTGGAATACGAGAAGATCGGAAATTAGAGGGAAAGGTATGTATCTTGAAATGATGTACAATATAGGCAATTAATTGGCAACGGAGGTATCGGGGACCTCAGGTGGGCTAGATTATGTCATCCGAAGCACGAGCCATCCTGCATTTACCGATTTAGGACACAGCGCCACTCTTACCTCTTTTGGTGTTTTGAATGCCGAGATGAGCACTGACTATGGCAAAATGGATATATCAAAATATTAACCCCCGCTTGGGCCGGAGATGGCCTTTAATGATATCAGGAAATCATTCTTTCTCTGGACACCCTTGTCAGCGGATTATGATTCAAATTCACTGCAACCCCCGACAAACAGGGTAGCCTTACACCTCTACAATGCAATGCGAATCAACATCCACCTGGCCGAATAAGCGACGCCAGACAAGTATGCAAAGTGACCGGCGCGTTAGAGTATGACACCCCCTTAGGGCTTATACCCCGACTCAACTGATAGTGAGACTGGTCCAGTCTCTATTGCTCATATCATATTTGGGAATATTATCACCTCTCGCAAATGTCCCCACTGACGCATTTCTCACAGTGTAAGGAGCCGAGCTCAGCCTGTGTGCATTGCCTGGATCGCAATATGCTCAGCCAATATCTGCCTCGGCCCCGACTGACCCGGCTAGACAGCAAGCATGGATCTTTCGTCTCCTCAACGAGCACGTCGTCATCATCTCCTACCATGACAGAGTCTTCCCCCTCGCAGTCAAATCCCCAACCCCAACACGACCACCCACCAACAGGCCTCTCAACCCACATCAAAGAAACCCTTGACCTAAAAGACCTCGAATTGATGATGCACTGGTGTACAACAACCTACAAATCCATGGCAGGGGACCCCGCATCCGAACGAATATGGCAAACAACCATCCCCCAGCTCTCCCTCCGCTACCCAGCCCTTCGCCAAGGCATCCTAGCCCTCTCAGCGCTGCACCTCGCCTCAACAAGCACATCTTCCCGGCAATGGCGATATCTCGACACAGCACGCTCGCACCAAGCACAAGCGCTAGCAGGCCTCCGTATCGAGAGTGATGAAGACGCACCGGAAGCAGAAAGCCAAGCGACCTTCGCACTATGTTGCATAATGATCGTATTCACCTTCGGTTTCTGCCAAATCGACAGCGAAAACGACTCGGACGAAGAGCGGCCCGACGTGCTGGACGAGTTCTTCGAGGTATTCCAGCTAACCCGGTGGTTAGTCAATATCATGGTGATCTCGAAGGAACGTATCACAACAGACGAGCTGAACCCACTCTTCCACCCCAAAGACCCGCCCCCAACAATGCCGAATATGTCGCGGCTGGTGGTTCTCTCCCTACAACGACAGAATGGCATGGAGGCCATACGGGATACGACACATGAGACAGATGTGTATGACTCGGCCATTGAACATCTCAGCCAAGCACTCGAGCAACTGATGAAGGGTGGAGAGCCGAAGGTGTTTGCTTTTTCTTGGAGTTTCCGTATCCCTGCGGAATTTTTGGAGCTGCTTGAGGCGCGCCAGCCGTTTGCGCTCGTTATTCTGGCGCATTATACGGTTATTCTGCATCATCTTAGGGGTTCATGGTGGATGGGCGATTGGGGGAATAGGATTCTGCAGGAGATTGGGGATCTTCTTGACCCGGAGTGGCGAGAGCTTATTGGATGGCCGATTGATGCGACGGGGTGTTTCCTCCCGAGGAATGAGGCGCAAGTGCGAGTAGTATCCCCGCTTGGCTTTTGATGGCGAGTCTGCATTTCTTGATTAGGTGTGAGCGATGCATATAATGAGGCATGGAGCGTGTGATTAGCATAGACATTCGATTGTACATAGCATAGTTTTTTTTCAATTCAGACAAGGATTGTCATGAGGGTACATCGTTTCTCGGTGTTTAGGGAACAATTCCAGGAAAATGATTGCTGCACACATCGAAGCGTATGCCAATAGAGGAAATAGACAAAACACAACCCCGCCCAAATGTATCCCAAGCGCCGTTCGTTTTCCCGGTATTCCATGATAGGTATGAAGTAATCCCCGAGTATGTGAAGCCAGGAATGGGGATTGGAGAAATCTTGCAAAGAAAGGAAAACAAAAGTAACAAACCCATAAGTATGACCGAAAGCTCGATGAGGGAAAAAAAAAGACCAGACTCCCGAATCGAAGCAGCACTGCCCGCAGTGATTTCTGATTAGTTTCTGCTCGGACAATCACCTCTCCCCGGATCGGCACTGCAGCTAAGAAAAAAAAAGTAAATATCTTCTGCAGCCAATCCCAGGGCGAAAATCAGCCTTCATCAAGCCCTCTCAACGGGAACGAATCAATCGCAAACCCCCCACCGCCTGATAACCAATAACCAGCTCAAAC